ATATTCCAGTTTGTTAGCATATAGTCATAGTATTCTCTAATAATTCTTTATATTTCTGTGGTGTCCATAGTGACTTTTCCTTTCTTATTTCTGATTCTGTTTATGTGTGTAGATTCTATTTTTTTCTTTATAAATCTGGCTAGGTGTTTATCTGTTTTGTTTATTTTCTCAAAGTACCAGGTCTTGGTTTCGTTTATTTCTTCTGTTGTTTTATTCTTCTCAATTTTATTTATTTCTTCTATGATTTTTATTATGTCTCTCCTTCTACTGACATTGGGCGTCATTTGTTCTTCTTGGTCTTGTTTCAGTAATTGTGAATTTAGACTATTCTTTTGGGATTGTTCTTCCTTCTTTAAATAGGCCTGGATTGCTATGTGCTTTCCTCTTAGAACTGCCTTTGCTGCATCCCACAGAAGTTGGGGCATTGTGCTGTTGTTTTCATTTGTCTCCATATATTGCTTGATCTCTGTTTTAATTTGGTCATTGATCCATTGATTATTTAGGAACATGTTTTTAAGCCTCCATGTGTTTGTGGGCCTGTTTGTTTTCTTTGTACAATTTATTTCTAGTTTTATACCTTTGTGACCTGAGAAGTTGGTTGGTATAATTTCAATCTCTTTGAATTTACTGAGGCTCTTTTTGTGGCCTAGTATGTAGTCTATTCTGGAAAATGTTCCATGTGCACTTGAGAAGAATGTGTATCCAGCTGCTTTTGGGTGGAATGTTGTATAGGTGTCTGTTAGGTCCATCTGTTCTAATGTGTTGTTCAGTGCCTCTGTGTCCTTATTTTCTGTCTGGTTGATCTGTCCTTTGGAGTGAGTGGTGTGTTGAAGTCTCCTAAAATGAATGCATTGCTGTTCTTTTTGTAGCAAGTTTTAGAATGTTTGAGATTTCTTAGTAAACGTTGCATTGTTCTAGTTCCTGAAATTAGCAGTAAGAAGACTGTCAACCTCGTGGAGAAATGCCCTGATATATTTGAAGTGAATGGGTGTGGGTCTGTAATAAAGAAATGGAGTCAATAGCATATTCTAAGCATTGTCAACATATTAAACTGCCTCACCTAACATTTTTTAGGCAATTACTGTCTCCAGAGCTTAAGGATACATAATTGTATCTACCATTCACATGAGGTGAGGATTTTAATTTTCTTCGCACCCAGTATCTAAAAACTAAGGTCCTTAGAAGTGTCAGTCCAGTGTTACTAAGCTTTCTGTTACCAAGATTTGCTGAAAAGTCTACAGTCTAGCAACTGTATGTGTGTTCTACCTGCACCCCACTGTCTTCCGTAGAAATTCTTTTTTCTTACACCATTTTTGACTGAGTTTTAGAAGAGTTCTGGAGTTTGTTCTCATTGGTCCAGAGCTATTAAGCTAAGCCCTGATGAAGTAATGGAATATGTGATGAGAAATGAAATGTCTAAACACAAAGATAGTAATCTTGAGCAAAAGCAGCTTGGGTCTTTATAAAAAAAAAAAATAGTCTGTCCCATGTAATTACAGTTTTTTTTTTGTTAGGGATTTAATATAGTGAGAAATCAGTAAAGCATCAAATTGGTAATCCCGTTGTCTCATAAAGCTTGATATCAAAATGTCAATTTATTTAGAAAGAGTAGCCAAAAAACATTTCGAGTCTAAATATTCTGAAAAAGGTAATCACTAACCCATATTCATGAAAGAGCAGAGGAGGAAGTTAACATTAATGACTATAAAATGAAAATAGCCAGAAAAGAGGCCAGATTATTTTCAAAAAAAAGTAATCTTATCTTTATGGAAACCTAATCTTGAACATAGATTTGAAGTGCTAGGGGAAAAAAACCAGGGTTGTATATGCCCCCCTACACAACCATCCAGTCAAGAAAGAAAGCTATTAGCCTCTTTCAGCAAGTGGAGCAACTACAAGGATGTTTTGAATAACTATACAGAAGTTAATCAAGAAAATATTTAAGCCAAAAACACTCTATTCAGTAGACATTAAAACAGACCCAAGAAGCAATTGTTAAAGATGGCAAGTTGAACAGTTTTCAAAATACCACATACGAGAGTGTCAAAAATGCAACATATTGGCCTGTAAAAGACAAAAGCAGGTTGATCTCTTAGCAACCAACTAACAAATGGCAATAATATCTATGTCATGTGTCAAACACATCAACGTAGGATTGCTATGAAGAGTAAATGAAGAAATGCATTTAGAGTTTATAGCACAAGGCCTTTTTTTTAAAGCTGGTTTTTATCTCTTGGAAAACATTAATATATCAGTTTAAAGCTAAGTTTTATGCTGTTATCATAAATATTAGTATGTGCTACTGGATGGTTATAGTAAAACAAAATTCAGAATATTCCATATCAATAATGTCACACATCAGTGCTGATCTTAAGCTATGAAATAATATTTTTTCCCTGTAAAGTGATACAAATTCATGACTTTGCAAACAGTTTATGACTGCTGAGTAATATAACTAACATTTACTGAGCTTATATTGTGCACTAGGAGTGTGCTGAGGATTTCATGTGTAGTTTCTAAACCTTAGAATAGTACTGTGAGGTAGGTACTATTCTGCTATCTCTATTTTACAGATGAGGAAGCTGAGACCAAAAGAGTAACTTGCAGGGATCCATAGCTGGTAGGTGCTTGACCCAGGATGAAAACACACTCCAGAGCTCAGGCACCTAACCACAGTACTCAAGAGATTGGTATTGGTTGAGGGGAAAGTGAAGGGGGATTGGGGAAGGGTGGGGTACAGCAGATCAGATAACTGAGGATGAATGGGGAGAAGGTAAAAGTGGAGACAGCCTTCTTGCCTAAAGCTAAAATCCAGGCCAGAATCAGTTAACAAGGAGATAGGAGTCTGAGCCACAGAAATCGGTAAATAGGGGGAAAGAAAGGTTTTTCTAAAGGAAGATTAGGACCTGACTTTTGTTTGAAGGGTGACTGGAGAATTTGGAAATGGCAAAAGTAGTCTGTACATGTGAAGGGGTGAGATTGTGAGAACAAAATAAACCCTAAAGACTCTTGGTGAAGGAGAAGGCAGACTCCTCAGTGAGTAGATGGACATAATGAAACTGGTGAGGTTTGGGGTGGATGTACCTCTACTGTTCTCATTGTCTGTACCTGCTCTCAGCATCTCACCAGACACTCCCTTCTTCCTCTGGAGGCTAACATCTGGGTTTTTGAAAACATGACTAAACATGCAACTCTTGGGCATTTGGTTACTCTAGGTTTATATAGTCTAGAAGAGCTCCTTGGTCTGTAGAAATTGTCTACTGAAAAATATTCTCTTCATAAATCATCATTTTCCAAAGGTGAGTGCTTAATACACATTTTAAGTGTTGGTACCATGATCTAGCTCAGCAGTACAGCATGCATTATTGATATTCTCAAATAGAAAATCACAGCTCATTCTTTACAGTTTGTGTTGCATATACTTAAATCCGACCAAGAATATTTTATATTTTCGTGAGAAATACTTTACTTGCCATATTTTCACAAGCTTATCTTTTTCTTCAAAGCATAAAGCCCTGAAGCAATGGTTAAAAGTTACAGAACACTTTTCAAATTTTAAAGGTAAATAATTTATTCATCAGATAGAAATATAACTTATGTTAGCCAGTGTGTTCTTTATCTCTTTCCCACCCATCACTTTATTTCATTCTTTTCTCATTTTCTCAGTCCTGAGAAAATGCTCATGTAACATGTGAAACCTATGCAAATGCCTGATGGAGTATGTAAAAACATCAAAAGATTTTTTATCTATCTATTTTGTTGTGAATGTATACATCATCAAATCAATGATCTGTAGATAGAGTGAAAGATCAAAACTATAAAGAAAAGAGCTACAAAGATCATGAAAATTCAGAATACATAGGACTTCATTCTCAGAACTGGTTACCAAAATTTTAGCTTATTTTATAAGGATTTAAAAAAATCGTTGCTAAAGGCATGTGTAACATTATGTTATACAAGTCTTTTAATTATTTTTCCTGAGGGGATTCTCTATTTTGCCATTGAAAACAAAGACAATTTTTTAAAAGTGGATCTATGGACCAACATATAGTGATAGAGCTGGGGTGCAGCTCTTTATTAATAGTGCTACGTCACCTCTGCCCTTTATGCTTTGCCCTTTGTCAGATGGAACAGAAATGGTTCCGGTACCCCTTATATACCTGAGAGATGTCTTTGGCCCCTTCACTGTATGAATCCTGTTTGGAGCTGTGTGTACTACCATGTTTGAAATAAGGTTCCTAATGAGCCTTTTCCTGCATGGAATGCCAATTAGCTGCCTACTTTTAATTAATAACTGGGCATTAACTCCTCAATAGTGCCATCATCACAAACTACAATCCAGGTCCTACAATCCACCACTGAAGGATTAGACAATTATGTACTATTGACCAGACTTTGAACATGTCTAATTTGGGAGAGAATAGTGCCCACATCTACCTTAGTGGAAAGAATGACCAGACCTTTGCAATGTTATGACTGCTAAAAGAACTTAATAACCAGCTCAGCTTGCACTCAGAATGGGTTCCCAACAGCAAAAGAGATATACTTGGTAGAAACAGAAAAATATAATAAAGTAGAATTCTTCTGTTGGCAGAGTATGTATTTATACATTCTTCTGTGTTTAGCTCAGTGGGTAGAAAACACTTCCTGGAAAGAGTGCAGTACACAAATGTTTTCAATTTGAACTCATACATTTCATGTAATTGGTCCCTGGGACAAGGTTCACTGTCCTGGAGGTGGCTTGGCTCTGTCTTTGAAACACACACTAATGAATTTCAGGTTTGAGACAGAAACAGGCTGCTCCATATCAGACAGTCATATGAACCTGGGATCGTTTCCCATGAATGTCTTACATAGCTATGTAATATCTCTGGATAGTGGGTTCTTCTGCTGTCTCCGAACACAGATAACTGCCCTTGCTCCGGGTTTGCCTACTTTGAAACTTAGATTTCACAGATTCCTTCATTTTTATAAAGGGAACATTGTTGGGGGGAAAAAAAGGCAGAGATCATCTGAGTGCAGCTGGCTGTGTTGGAAGACACTTAAAAATTGGAGGACACTTAAAAGAACCTGAGCACATTAGTTGGGGCCAAGTACGTTGTTTTGGTTTTCCTCTCAGCTGTTTGGAGTAAGAGAAAATTAATAAGAAAATCACCTTTCATACCTTTTTATGTTGACAATCCAGCAATAGAGGAGATTTGATCTCATCTGATCCAGCATACTCAAAAAGTCAAGGAAGTGGAGTAGTTGATTGTGAAGACTTGTTTTATGTAAACAGAAAGAAGTAAGCTAACAAAGTCACAGGCAGCCCTGAGTCAGAATGACGGTGTCGGAGCTCTGTGGGACCCCCCAGCCCAGCCCACACAACTTGGGCAGTGCTTACAAGGACTTGATTCTGACTGGCAAGGAAGGCAGATGCAGGTACTCAGGCTTGCAGATGTTTTGCCTACATATACTCAGAGTGAGTCACAATTTGTGTTGAGCCAGTAGGGGAAAACAATGTTGATTTCAGGAATTCCTTTTTCTGTACTGGATTGACCAGGGACTGTAACTTCCTTGTGGAGTGAGAGAATTTCCATTTCTGTGTGTGAGACTATTTGTCCCAGTTATTCCACTCATTGTCTGTGAAGCTGTGCACGGGTTATGCAAGTCTTCCATCTGGGGCTCAGTTTCCTCCTTCCTAATTTAAGCAGAGTGGGCCAGATGATATCCTAAGGCCCTTTCTAGTTTCTACAGTCTGAAGTTCAGTTTCTTCTGCGTATAAGAAGTCATATCCATTGCATTGGTCAACTCGAGACTGTTCGCATTGTCCAACTGATAAACATTTCCAGCAGCCAAATGTGAATGAAGAGCAACAGGCCAGTCCTGTAGAAAGTTGATGTAGGGCTTGCTGGAATGATCAGTGGGAATCCTGGGTGATGAAGACCCCCTAAGTGGGAGGCTTCAGATGACAGTATCCCAGCAGCATACTGGGGATGGTGGACTGTTTAAAATCATAAGAGGCAGTGTGAGGTGGGCAGCATGCAGTCTGACACCAGAAGGTCTTGGAGTTCTCTTGGTTACTACTCAGCATCCCTACCAACCCAAACCCCCTAGCCTTCTACTTTAGCAAGTTACTGCACAGTTGTAAAACTTATGTGTGATGGTTGCTTTTTAAGTGAAGAGAATATCTGCTTGTCAAGGTGAAAAGCTTAAAGAAAATGTATTTGAAAGTGTCTAGCAAATGAAGTTGGATTAAGAAAACAAGTAAAACCAGCCATTTATAGAAACCCCAAATAAGATAACCTTATCTGAAATCTAAGGGGGGGGGGAAACCACATTTGTGTAGTGAATAACATTTCACAGAGTGCTTTAGGACATATCATCCTTTAATCCTTACCACCTCATTTTACAGATGCAGAGGTCTTTGCAATTTCCCAGGGGTATGACACATGGAACAATGAAGTAAAGAGTTAAATCTTCTGATTTCAAACTACTGTATGCCTTTTACAGTGTGCTACCAACACACCATTACACTAGGTTGATATGTGTTAGAGTTGAGGTCAAACTAACTGTGATGATTCTGGAAAAGCAAATAAATGGTCCGAAATGGTAATAATACCTATTTCGGTGTTTTCTCCTTATGCCATTTTTATATGACTACAGCTATACTGATGGCCATTTAAGACAAATCTAGGAAATCCTGGCCAGTTGCTCCTCCTCACTTTGTGGGATCCTAATTCCGAAACAGCCCTTGGGAGTTGCTGGAAGATTTGAATATCTCTGGGATGTCACTGTCCAGTTTTGAAATAATTTTATAAATGGGTTTCTTCCAGGAAGGATCTGAGTCTTTCCCTGCGGAGACAGCCCTGAAGAACTCCTGTAACGTCAAGCTGGCAATTTCCAAGAAGCAGTCTGGGACCTGCATTTGCAAAGAAACCCACAAGAAAGAAAAGACGTGAGGCTGGGAAGCAGTGACGCCATACAGACCTCACTGCCTGATGCTGCCTGTTCCTAGGGTGGTGGGCTGCTAAGAGTGTCTCTGCACTGCTGGCCCGTGATATTTGCAGTCCTAGGAATCCCCTGCTCCTTCATCAAATAAAAACATTGAAATGATGGTGTCAGTGAGACAGGCTGTGGGAGAAAGCATAACAATACTCCCTTTGTAGAAGGATGTGATTCCATTAACAGGTGACATTTTTAGTAAGTAAGCGGGAAACTCTGACTCTGAAATTAAGTCTGTGATTCAAAAGAGGTTTTTAGTATTATTTCCCTTAGTCTAAGCCTGATGTGGAAAGGAGTGCCCCAAGTTTATGACTGTCATACCTCATCCCACCATCTTTTGGGGCTGGATCCAAAGGATGTGGAATCATTCCTGCTCCTAAAGCCAACCATGAGTTTGAGGGGCACTCAAGAATATGTCCCAGGACCTCACCCAGACTGGTACCATAAATGACAGGGAGATGGGGAGTCCCATGGGTCCTCCAGACACAGCCTGGCCCAGGGCTTGCCACCACTGCATACCAAGTGACCACACCAGCCTGGAAAGATGTGGCAGCCCTGCTCCTCCCCAGGCCCTGACCCCGCAAGCCTCAGAAAGGAGCCTTAGGTTTCCCTACAGCCGGGCTTAGGTTTCCAAACATCTTCTGACAGAGCATCTGACCAGTGGATGCCAGCATTTCCTCCCTTTCTTGGAGGCATTAATGAACTGCTCTTTGTAATCACAGTCAAGGGAGAACAGCAAGACGGACGCACAATTGGTGACCAGACACACTTGGCCCCCAGCTTCGCAGAGCTGTCAGCCCCACACAAAGAAATGTGTGTCTGGATGGGGAGTTCTCGCCAGTGACACTTAGGCCATTTGCTTGCCCTGACTGACACTTACCTCTAAGGTGCCACCAGTGTGCCTTCATAGGGATCCCCAAAGGACTGAGAGGTTTAGTACTGTTTATTCATTTTTTCCAGAAGGGTTTGAGGTGATTTGCCACGGAAGGCCCACAAATAAAATTGTTCAAGTGAAAATAAATATAAGAACCAAATGATGAAAAGAACAAATCGTTGTCAAGAAAACCTGAGCCAAGACTAGGAGCTGCAGCTGATTCCAGCATGAGTCCTGGGCCTCCTGGTGCTAAGGCAAAGAGGTCAACTTGGTAAGTAATGAGATAATTTACAGAGTATTAACTACAAAGTGGCCTAAGACCTGGCAAACCTCTGTATAAGTTTTAGAATGAGGACTGGCTGTATATTGTTTGTGGCACCTGCCTGTTGCCTAACAGAGGATGTCGAGGATGTAATCTTTGTGAATGGAACAGAGATTGACCCCAGGGTGCCCTGGCTCTCAGTGACTAAAGGACAGATACAGAAGGGGATCTTTTCCTCTAAAACTCGATCACAAAGTAAGGCAGCACTCATCAGACCTCATGGCACCCAAGTACATGGTCTTACCTCAAAGTCATTTCCCTTGTTGTAGTGCATATTGAGAGCTCGGAAAAGTTCTGAGTCACGGAGTACCACCAGCATTTTGGGATTTGTGACATCATCTGAAATTGCTTGCCGGGCAAATTTTTCCATTTGGATGTAGTAAAACTCACGAAAGTTGCTGAACCACTTGATCATCTGGGAGGTAATGCAGCGGTTGAACTGTACAAACAGTGGGTCCATTGAGTCAGATGTTTGCCATGAGATGCTCAGAGTCAGAACTATCAGCTTCCAGTTCAACGTAAGGGTTAATAAGAATGACTTTAACCAACATTAAAAAGGGTTTCCTTTAAAAAGAAACCTCGGCTATTTTCCAAGCCCACTAACTTACACACAGAAGAATCTGAATTTGTTATAATGCCCATTAGAAAATAATTGTTTTTTTATATACTAGATTTATGGAAGTTATTTTTTATCCATGAAAAGCTTTCTATGGTGTCTAGGTTTGGGGAGGGTCTGGAGCCAAGAACAGTATGGTACCAGCTTCTGCTGCATCCAGGCAGATTGCATGGTGTCCCCGGAGCCTTCTACCAGTAAAGGGCCAAGGAAGGGGTAAGAGTGCAGATCAGTGAGCAATTTATCAGCAACTTGGAGCTGCAGAATGGACAGATATAAGAGCTTGGTGCAGGCATCAACCAAGCAACTGAACATGAGGGAAAGACCTAGAAAATGCAAAGGGAAGATGTAGATACAAGTACTAACATCCCCTAACCCAACAACCCAGGGTAAAGGAAGCCCTCAGAAACTTCATGACAACAGGCAAAGTCTGGTTCCAACCATCAGAACTTGATTTTCCTTATTGTCACACTTGATCTGTATGCAGTTTTGAAACACAGCGATTTTGATGTTGTGAAATTTGACAGTGTCCAATTCTACACATTTTTTATTTTTTCATAATGTCCCCAGGAAAGACTAGAGCACTAGGCTGAAGATTCAGTTTACTAATCATTTTCCTTCCATCTTCCCTCTCCGTGTGTTTCTGGGTATATCTACAGCTCAAAGCTTAAGACTTCAGATACCCAACCTTCCTAGTCCAATATTATTCAGGAGTATTCAGGCAGTCTTAGCACAGAACTGGAAATTGCACTGATTCCATCAACAACATGAAGGGAAAATAAAATGCCCGTATGATGACCTAGGACCTCAAATGGGGCAAAATCCACTGCCGCTTGGGAGTTTTGAAGAGGCTGAAACTGAATTGAATAACTTTACCTGAACGTCAGAGAAATAAGCCTTCAAGAGGTTGGAGCTGGGATAGCGTGTGAAGAAAAACATTAGTTTGGCCTTCCTCAGGTGACCCGGATTTAGGCCCTCCTGGATTTATTCCAGCGTCAAGGAAAACTAGCACCAGTTTGTCAAATAATTTTATCAATTTAAATAGTGGATTGTCTCTTTTCCTTATGATTCTATTTAATTTTATTTTTCCTGGTTGAATGGTGTATTTACTCTGTAGCAAGTCTGATCAGATAAGCCTTTTCTTTCTAGATGAATACCATCTATGTATAGTGAAGTTACAGAATTTAAAAAACACTTAGATGTGTAGAAGTCGTATGGCCTATGTAACAGTTTGTTGTACTTGGTGCGTGTGCTCTCAGAAAGGGAGCAAAGAGATGGCAGGTCAATCCCAGATAAACCGTCCAAACCCCCAAGTAGGGGTTTCCTGCCCCTCTCTGCCTTGGTTTCCTCACCTGTAAAATGAGAGGAGCCAACTAGACGGTCCCCATTCTGGCTCTCATGATCTCCTTTGCAGTATTTAAGCCACAAGCATCTAACTGGACTGAGTGCCAGATCACAGTGTGCTTTGGCTCAGGAAGGTTGAACTGCTGGGCAGCACCTTCTCTCCATTTTCCTGGCACAGCTTCCATTCTTCCTATCTCAGCTCACACTCCCTCTGTGAAAATTAGGCCTTCCTTACCCTGGGTTACCAAGGCTCTTTGTACAAACCTCTGTTTAGCAATGACCTTATTGGAATTTTTACCGCATGTTTGTCTCCCCATTTAGACTGTGAGCTCCTTGAGGGCAAGGACCTTATCTTTCCATCTTTGTATTCCACATGCCTAGCCCAGTGCTAGGAACATAGTAGGTGCTCAATAAATGTCTGTTGGATAAAGGACTGATTGCGTGATTAGCTGATCAACCTTAATCCATCCACAAATAATGGAAATTATATTCCAACACATAACTCACCCTGGGAGCAGACTCCTTCCTTTTAGCAGCAGCAGAGAGCTGTTGTGTGACTGTCCAGCACCAGGGCTGGAGGGAAATAAAAATGCTTAGACATGAACACTTAGTCTCAGGGATAATCCTGGGCTGGGTGAGAAGCATTACACAGAGTAACCTTGGAGCTCAAGTCTGAGAGCTGTAGCTTTAGGAGAACTAAGTCATAGTAGAGAATTACAGTCATAGTAATCAGCTGGCACCCAGCCTGCTATCCAGAGAGCCCTGTACCCTGTCTCATTGGCCTTACTTCTTTACTCCTCTTACAGGTTCATAAAGGCTTTGGAAAGGCTCCTGGATTTGAGAGTCCAGAGACCCAGTTTCAGATACTGATTTTGCCACCTATTAGCTGCGGCCTCACTTCTAAAATGCAGAGTGTGGTGGTTAAAGCTTGTGCTTGGCATTCAGATCCTGGGTTCAAATCCCAGTTCCACATATGTCTGTCTTGTGACTTTGAGCAAGTTGGTTTGCTTCTCTGTTCCTGCCCCTCAGATGCCTGATCTAGAGAGGATGCTTGAGGATTGTGAGAGAACACAGGCCCACAACTCCTTCTCTGAAACAGTGGGCAAAGGGGGTTCAGATTTCAGAATTTATTTTTTCAACAGTAATATGGTACACATACCACATGTTAACTCTCACAGCAGAGGCTATGGGAGCAGTCTGTAATCCAATACGTTCATATTTCCACAGCAGAATGGATGACTGTCTACACTAAGTGGGATAGTCTATAAAAGTCTATAAATAGCCTCCAATCGGTGCAAGTCAGGTTTTGCCACCAAAAATGTGCCATCAACTTTAGGGAAAGAAATCAGAGGGATTTTCAGAGCTTTCTGAGTTTCCGAATTGTAGCTGAGAGGTGATGGACATATACATGTGGATTGCTGGGAGTGGTACCTGCCAGGAAGAACATGTGCAGTAAATGTTAACCCTCATTATTGTCTCACATCATGCCTTTTCACAGGGATGTTGTTTGAATTTGAAAGTTCTTTTACACTTCAACACAGCTTACTTTTAAGTGGCTTTCATGACCCACCAAAACAAATCTCTAATGCTGGAATGTAGGCAGCAGGAATGAGGGACTAGCTGGGGAGCCAGGATGCTGCCTGGGAGCCCCAAATCATTCCATAGGTAGCTAAGTACCCTGCCCGTGCATCTGGGCCTAGTGGATGGGCCCAGAAACCTCCTGAAGTTCTTTTGAGACCAGGCCTCATTTCATGGGGCACAGTAGGTGCCTGGGAAATAGCAGCATGCCCCTCCCACGGGAAGCTGGGCAGAGAATCTTTGGGGACTGAATTCTTGAGCTGCTGCCACCACTGCCTGACTTTATCAGGGATTCGTAATCGATAGCCTCTTATCAAAGTCCCAGACTGGTAGCCTTTCTTGCACAAGGTGATAGCCTGACTGAGAAAATCTTATCTGCACTGATATCTGCACTGATGTCTCCATACCTCCAAGAAGATTCCCTACTGCCTGAAGAGGCTGCTGGTTTTATAGTTGCTCACTGCGTGTGGGGAAAGTACCCAGCGTGTGCGTGCGTGAGTGCGTGCGTGCGTGAGCGCGCGCGCGCGCGCACGTGGAGGGGGGTGGGAAGTACCCAGCGTGTGTGTGTGTGCGTGCGCGCGCGTGGAGGGGGCTGGGAAGTACCCAGCGTGTGTGTGTGTGTGTGTGTGTGTGTGTGTGTGTGTGTATGTGTGTGTGCGCTCGCGCGCGCGCGTGCAGGGGGGTGGGAAGTACCCAGCGCGTGTGTGTGTGTCACCAGCAGAGGGCGCTCATAGCATTTAGGACACAAGAGCAAGCCCTGGTGTGACAGTGAGCCGGTCCTATCCAATCCTGCTGCCCTTACTACAGCTTGCCAGGCAGAGGGCACGACTGTTCACACCTGGCTATGTATTTCCACACATACATTGACCTCTGGAGACTAGATTCAAGGCTGCCCATCAGAAGCAATGGTGTGAATTCAGCTTGCTAAAAAAGCAACATCCAAAATGTGTTGTCTGAAAGTTTAGTCCTATAAGATGCTTATTGGAGGGAATCCTTTGGACATATGAGCTTGGAGCTGCATACATTCTTCTCTTAGAGCTTCACATTGGACATCAGCATGTTAAAGGCTCTGAGAAGTCCCTCAGTAAGGACACTAACCCAGTATTTACCCAATCTGAGGGCGCGTTCCTCTGGGAAACACCATTTAAGAGACTAGGGTCTGCCTAAGGGTTGCACAGATAACACAGTAAAAGCCAGACTCCTGCAGACCAGCCTGCCCCTCAGTCATCCCATGGGGCTGCCTTCTCCCTCCACGTGCCCAGCCCCAGACTCTAGTCCTCTCAGCTGCAGCTTAGAAGCTATTCCTTAAACTAAAGGCTTCTTACAGCTTACAGCTGCCTCTCAGTTCTAGTCCTTAAGGAAAACTTCCTCTTTCCCATCTGCCCAAAGTCTCTGGTCCTTTATATCTTCCCCATGAATTACCTAAACAGTGCAGGCTTTTTGCCTTTGGATCCAAGAGGTTGGAGGAGCCCTGCTTCAGATGAGGTCATTCCTGTGAGCCTCTCTGCCTAGGGGTGTGGGCAGCTGACACCAAATTAAGGGGTTCTTCCCTCCATAGGGTACTTATCATATTCTGGAAGTCTGTTTGAGTTTAAAAACAAAACTCTTTTAGACCCAAAGTAATACATCAGTAGTGGTGGAATCTCCTGTGTCGTAGAAGGAGGTAGATGAACCTCCCAGCAAGCATCCTTAAGTCCCAGAATGTGGCCATCACTTCCTCACCTAAAAGCTGTGAGCCACAGGGAAGGAACGCCTGCAAGTGACATCAAGAAGACCGTTGGGAAAGCAAAGCTATTCCCTATTCCATGTAGTCAGTTGTCCCCACCTCCCCTCATCTTCTGGATTTCCCTTTTATCTGGACTGTGACAATTACTAGTAAAGGATATGTGGACTGAGGAGAAAGGAAGTGCGTGAGCAGCAGCCTGCAGGCCCCCCTGTTCCATCTTCACTGAGGGAAGAAGGGGCAGACTTTCCAGATGGGTGGGCGTGAGGGGCAAAGGGTGCCACTGCTGGCTCAGACCTGACGGTCGCGGTTTGACAGCTCCCCAGGGTCGTAGGGCAGCCTCTGACGAGGGGTGACTTTGGGAAGATGAGTCCTGGGGAAGACTGCTGCTCCCGTGACCTTGGGGCCCATGACCCACCGGCTGGCTAAGAATCAGATTTTCCTGGGGGTGGGAAGGCATAGTCAAGGGATAGTTTGCTGGGGGACCCTGATAGGGCTTGGGGATCATTCTTGGAGAGACAGGATACCGAGGAGAATCCAGAGGCTTGGCCAATGAGAAGTTTCCCAGGGGGACCCCAGCCCGTGGGTGTGTGCTCCTGGGCAAGGCGGCCGGAGGAAGTGGATCTTTACAGGCTGCTCCCTCAGGAGGTGAGGGCTGGCTTCTACCCTCTGGCACCAGCTCCTGGAAGCTTCTGCCCAGCTGAGTCAGGCGACGTGGTGGATCCAGTAGCACCCTTTGTAATACTGAGTCCACAGCCTGGGACACTGCCCCAGCCAATTCTTTCCGCAGAATCTCCAGCAAAGCACGTGCTCCGGAAGGAAGGAAACTGGGTTCCTCAGACTGGTGTGTGACCTCAGACACTCTGTGTTTTTCCGCCCCAGAGAGGTCCCTGTGGGAACACTGGTGTTTGTCACTGTCCATCCCCCAGAGTCTGGGCCTATAGCCATTCCTCTGCTTCATATTCAAAGGGTCCTGCCCCTTCTCGGAGCCTCTGGAGCCCAGAGCTGTGTCCCTGGCCTCAGCAGCCTGCAGGACATGCTGTTGCAGGTGTCTTAGCTGTTGCTTCAGCAGATGAAGCTGTTCTCTCACTCGAGGGTCCCCCTTCCTGCTGCTGTGGCCCCCAGCAGGACCTGGTTTCAGAGGCCTTTGCTGCCTGGGTAGGTTCTGCTTCCTCTTCTGCTCCCGGGCCTTCTCTGGGCAGCACAGGCTGTCCCTGGCTCGGGAATTGCCTGGCATAGGAGGGTTAGGGGAGAGGCACATGCCTTGGACGATGGTCTCCACTCTGGCCCTTTTTGCCTGGATGTGCTCATCCCAAAACAAGTCAGGGTCAGTGAGGCTGGAGCTGGGGACCCAGCTCCAGGCTAAAGGGGAGTCCCTGCCCTGCTCTTGGAGGGATGAGCTTCTCTCACCTTCCATATGGGGTTCTGCCAGGTGGGAGCAGGCCCCGGATGGAGGAGAAAGCAAGCTGGAATTTGGGTCCATCCCCTGGCTCCCCAGGCACTTGCTGGGAGGCTGCCGAGCCAGTAGGACTCTGAGGGGTCTCCCTCCTCCTAATGTCCTCAGCTGGAGGGGCACCCAGAGTAAGCTGGGGCGTCCTTCCTCCTCCGCACTTAGAAAGGTGGAAAGCAGCCGTCACAGACTCAGGCTCTGGATGCCAGGAATTCCGAGCCTCCTGGGCAAACTCTGAAATCAGAGACAGAAAGCAAACAGTACTGGCAACTTTGAACAGTACTTTTTAAATTTGAATGTGCAAAGAAACCATTTATTGTTTTTTAAAAAAAGTGTTAAGATGCAGATTCTGATTCAGCAGGTCTGGGTGGGCAGAGATTCTGCATCTTTAACCAATTCCCAGGTAATGGGGTGCGGGTGGTCAGGCCCACACTTTGAGGAGATTCCCAAGAAGGATCATCCAGTTCTTCCCTGCCAGGGCACAGCAATAATATTAACGGCAGGTAACTGCATAACTGGCATTATATTCAGTACCTAATTTAATTCTCTTATTCTGTGAGAATGCTGTGATCCCTGTTTTACAGATAAGGAAATAGACTCAGAGAAGTTAAGATGGTCATACAGCTAATATGTGGCAGTCTGAAGTCCAAAGAACATTTGTCTGATTCAGAGTAACTTAGTGACTACCTGCAGCAGAATCACCTGGAGCGTTTGTTAAAAACAGTAAATTCAGGAGGCCATACCGGTCCTGCTAAGTCAGAATCCCTCCATGCTGGGGCAGGGAACCTGCCTTTGAAAAAAGCAAAGCAAAGTTTGAGAACCAGCTATTTAACCACTCTGCTGTCCTGCTCCTGGAAGAATCAGATTATGCATTCACTGTTCAACATTTAAGAAAAATTTATTAAGCACCTACTAGCAGCAGGCCTTCTTCTGGGCACTTGGAGAGACAGACGTGAACAAGACAGGCAGAGCCCTGTGCTCATGGAGCTGGTCATCTGGCAGGGGGAAAGAGAATAAACAAGTGTGTTTTCAGGTCATGATATCTGCTATTAAGAAAAAGCATCATATGGGGTTGGATGAGGGTATGGGGAGAATAAGGGAGCTACTTTAGGAAAGGCTGCGTAAAACTGTTTTATTCCCACACAGTACCAAAATGCTTTAATCAGGAGGCTCCTAGTAGCAGGCATTTTTTGAGTTTACAAAACATTTGTACATTTTAACTGCTTTGCCCCTCATGCCAAACTTAAGAGTCAGTCTAAACAGATGAGGAAACTGAAGATGAAAAGACATGCATAACACATAATGTAGCGGGGTTGAGGGCACTGGGAAGGCAGTATAACACAGAGAAGACAAGTAGTGATTCTCTAGCATCTTACTATGCTGATAGACAGTGACTGTAATGGGGTATGTGGTGGGGACTTGATAATGGGGGGAGTCCAGTAAGCATAATGTTGCTCATGTAATTGTATATTAATGATACCCCCCCAAAAAAAAGACATGCATTAAGAGACCCATTTCTCTATCTGTTAAGCAGATTCTTCCTTTCCTAGAAGAGGCAAATGAATTTTTTTTCCTCTACGAATTTCCACTCTCCTTTGCTTATTTTGCACAAATTTCCTCTGGTGAAAGAGCCTGCTTTGTTCTTCCCACTTTCATCCTAAAACTTACTTGGAATTCTCTACCTTGGGAAAATCTCAATTTTTCTGCAGCCACTGGGTTTTGGTGTGTAGACAATGCCACAGTGTCCACCTGGACATGGCAGAGACACCCAACATAAGCTTCTGTGAGCAATGTCACTCCAAGCTCCAGGGTGGAGGGTGGGAGGTGGTGACAGCTGCAGTGCCCTCATGGGGAAAATGACACAGAAAGTGGGCTATATTATCAGGTTACAATAACCCAAAGGTACTTGCTTTGAGTAAGACATTTGTAAATTACTAAAATAAAAATAGGTGACTTGCAAAATTAATATAAATTAAAGGATTTATTGCCAAACCAAGTTTGGATGGTTTGCCACCTCTTGGAGAGAGAAACATTTCTTAAATTTCTATGATCATTTGACAATGAATATGTATTATTTGCATAGTATGAAAAATTATTTTTAAATCAGATCCTAACATCTGATAAGCATAACTGGATCATTAAGCATATATAAGCTGATTTCTAACTACTAATTATCACTATACTGGAAGAATTATATTTTAACCAGGAGGGAGCATACAACTATAATACAAGCCACATATAATTTCAACTAAATAGCTTTCAAAAAGAGGGGATTGGCTATGGTAATTCTAATTGCTCAGGGACATTTCCTGCTTAAACTCAACATTTTCAAACCCAAACTCTAGAGTTGCCCCTCTGCCTCTCAATCTACCCATCTTGTTCAGGCTGCATGCTGAGCAGTCTCTCTGACTCCTGCCCAACTCCTCATCTTTAGCATTGATTTGGGCACCACATCTGGTGAATTTATAGCAGCAATGGTTCTGAACTACATTCTACATGCCTTTCCCATTACACATTCCTGATCAAGACTGCGTAACTTTTCACCTGGACGATTCTAATACCTCATGACTGGTCTTCCTCTTTTAGCCTCTTCTCACTCTGGTCCTTCTTCTACATTCACTCATTCATTCAACAAACATGCACCAATTGCTGACAACAGATGAAAATCCCCTGCCCATGCAGAGCTAACATTCATGAGAAGGGAGACAGATGGAATAACATACTAAGTAATGGAAAGTGTTATGTAGAGCCTTGCTGGCCATCGTGAAAATGTTGGCCTTTACTCTGAGATAAATGAGGACCCATTGTAAGGTTATAAGCATATCACCTGACTTAGCTATAAAAGGATCATTCTTTACTGGGTGGATAATAAACTGAATTTACTGGTAGGGAGCAAGGGTTGAAACAGGGAGACTTTAGAAGGTCCTTGCAATAATCTAGATAAGATGGCTTGGACAAGGTTGGTAGTAATGGAGGTGGGAAGTTGTGTTAGATCCTCGATATATGTTGAAGTTGGAGCCAGTGGCATTTGCTAACAGACTGGATGTGGGGTGCAGGAGAAAACAGAGCATCACTGATGATGACTCCAAGTGCTTGGCCTGAGCAACGGGGGTTGGAATTGCATGAGCTGAGATGAGAGGACTACAGAGGAGCAGATTTAGGAGGAGTATCAGGAGGTCAGCTTTGGACATGATAAATCTGAGGTGTTATTAGACATCCAAGTAAAGATGTTGAGAAAGCAGTTAGATAAATAAGCCTTGGATTCAGTAGGGAGATCTGGGCTGGAAAGATAAAATGGAGGTTGTAGGTATGTAGGTGGAAGAGCTCACCAAGGAGTGGATGGAGATAGGGAGGAGAAGGGGCCATGGACTGAGTCCTGGGACATAACAACACGAAGAGGCTAGGGTAAGACGGGGGTCACTCAGGGACACAGGAGGCACAATCAGGAGGTAGGAAGAAATCTATGGGTGTGTGAGGGACTGGGAGCCAAGTGAAGGGAGTGTTTCTAGGAGGGGAGAGAAGTCAAGCCACATAAGGTTTGTGAACTGACCATTCAATTTGGTAGTGCAGTCATTCAGGACATTGATGAGAGAAGTTTGGGTGAAGTGAAGGGAGAGAAAGCCTCATTGGAGAGCATTTAAGGAAGAGGATGAGCAGATGAACTGGTGGCGTTGACTAAGACAACTTTTTCAAGGTGTTTTGTAAAGAGGCGAGAAATGGGATGGTGGCTTAAGTGGGGTCAAGAGAGGGTTTCTCAAGAGAGAAAGAATAACAGCATATTTGTAGGCTTATGGCAGTGAAGGAAAAAACTGTTAATGTAGGCAAGAGGGGGAGAATTTCTGGGGCCAGTCCTTGGGTAGCAAGGAGGGGACTACAAAATGTAGTGCACACATGGATGACTGACTTCACAGAAGAGAATCCTCAGTTTGTCAGTGGTGGGGGTGGGCTAGTCAATGTGTTTGGACAGGAGCCAGCTGACGGATAGATGCAGTGATGGGAGTTGGTGGAAGTTCCCTTTTGATTATTTCAGTTTTCTCAGTGACGTTAGCATTGGCATTAATTTTTTTTAATGTGAGTCTGCTCACATCCCTCCATGGAGTCAGTCTTTGCTAGCTGCCTCTGGAATATAAGATTCAGATGTCTCAGCTCCTCATAAATGTGGTCCTAATCTAACTCCTCTGAAGCCATTATGCCCAAAACTTACCCGGTTTTAAGTGTGGAGCTGTCCCGGGCTGTGTTCCCCGCACATGCCAAATTCCTTCATGACTCCGTGTTTGGCATGCACAGTCCTCGCTGCCTGGAAGACCTGTCTCCCACTTTTTCACCTGAAAAGCTCCTACTCCTCTTTCAAAATCCAGCTGAAATGTCACCTCCTCTCTGAAGCAATCAATGTCTCTTTCCGTTTAGACTGTGAGCCCTCTCTTTGTTTCCCCAAGTAAGGCCTGACTCCCAGTTGTCATGAAATAGGTATTTGCTGATTCAGTTGAAAAAATGTTCTGTATACACCTCATTTAGACTGATTTTTGTCACATTAGAAGTACTTTATTTCAGATCCTTCTAGCCCCTACATAGAACAAAATCAGTACAGACAGACTGATAGATGATAGATAGAACATAGAACGACCAACTTTGCCAAATCTCCCCTGTGGGTAGTTTAAGGTGTTTTTCCCTAAGATTCCATATAGTCTGTGTGCTCCAGAGGCACGACTACTAGGGCAAGGGATGGGGCTCTGTATTTAATGAAGCAACAACCCACAGGAATGTCTTGAGGTCAGAAGCTAGATATTCAGAATTCAGCCAGACTCCACTGTGGCTGGGTGCCCAGAGGTATTTACACCCATCTCTGGAGGACGATCAGAGCCACTGCATCTAGGCAGCCAAGCGACAGGAAACCTCTGTGCTGGGGCCGAGGTGCTGCCCAGAGCCCTTTATCTGGGTGTGGCATAAAGCAGCTTTCTGTTTGAAAATTAACCACACTCTCACATTCACAGGTAGAAGTAGCAATCGTCACAGCCCTTTAAGAACAGTTTTACTGCTTTTCTTAGATTATGAAGGTAATACAGGATCATTTTACTTCCCAAATACAGAAAAGAAAGACAGCTATAACGCTGCCTCCCAGAAAAAAACTTGACAGTTAACATTCTGGTGTTCATTTTTCCCAAACTTTTTTTCTGTACAGATAAATTCACATAATTTCTTATAATTATATAAATAAACAAAACAAAAATGAAACACAAATACATAGTTCTGTAGCTTCTTTCTTCCCCCATCTCATGTCAGTGAATATCAATCTATAGCAACATCATGAAAGTTGATAATATTCCATTGTATGGATGTACCATTATTTATTTAACAAATTCCCTTTTTGTCAGACAGATTTCTTTTTAAGTTTTCACTATTATAGCAGTAAAGACAATCTAACATAGAGGTTGAAAGCGTGGACCTCGTAGTCAGACTGCCTGGATTTGAATCCCTAGAGCCACTTCCCAGCTTTGTGCCCCTGCTGTAGCTCAGTTTCTCATCAATATGATGTGAACAATCATAATACTGTTCCCATGGGGTTGTTGTGAGGCTCCTATGAGTTAACATCTGTTTTTAGAACAATTCCTTGCACATAGTTATTAAAAACTTGTGTTTATGGGGAAGGATTTGCATGTGTGATGGCAAATGATACATGGAAATCTCTGTACCTTCTGCTCAATTTTGCTGTAAATCTAAACCTGCTCTAAAAATTAAAATCTATTGAAAAACAAACAAAACTTTCATTTTCTCTCATTGAGCCTTTCCCGGATATACATTTCTGGGCACCGGACATAAAAAGTCCCACTGGAGAAACAAATTTAGCTACACACATAAACATAGCGCCAGGGCTTGTGAGATGCAAAGTCATGTAGGATTTTATAGCTAGAAAGTATTTAATGAAGGAGAGGTTGAAATAATAGACATAAGAAAGAAGCTGTGTGTCGGTTGTCTCCTTTCAGCTGGAGTGTTGAAGGCCATGAGCACAGCTGCAAAGACAGTGCAGATCACCTCCAATGGTAGGAGCCCTCTCCCTGCAGTCTGCCCTTCCACTGGATCTCCCTCGAGATCTCCCAACACTCTTCCCAGAGAGGGAAAGGGGAGGCCTGTCCTGGGGACCAGTGCCAGTGAGACCAGCAGCTGACAGGCTGTCTCCCCATCTGTGGTGTGCCCATACTTAGGGAAGAGCAAACACCTCAGACTCCAGCTTGGCTTTGGGGGAACCAATCAGGAAAGCAAGATGGCCTATCAGGGATCCTTAGATAAAGCAAGATGGCCTATCAGGGATCCTTAGATAAAAGGCACAGCTGGAAACCCAAAAAACGCTAACTCATTCTCATCACAGTCATTGATGCCCAATCCAGATTTATCCTGGAAAGTTTATTATTTCCTTGATAAAGTTCCTGCCAGGTTTTTAATTAGGAAAGCAGTGTTTCTTTTTCCAAGATTTTGTTTATTCATTTTCTAGACTCAGTTGGATTCCATTTGGACCAGCCTTGTGCCTAGTGGATAACTACCCACTATAAGTTGGAGAAATAAGGAGGAAAATGTTTTATCCTGAAATAGCTTCTTTTATGCAGATATCACAGGATTTAAGGGTCCACTACTGGTCATTTGTAATAGTGATTCCTTAATCACACATCTAGACATGAATACATTTTTGTCTGATGCACACTATTCCTGAACAGCCTCCCATCCAAGCACTTACCAGGCTCAGCAAACTTTAGCTGCCAGTGTAAGACTTGTTCAGGGTGGCATATCTCAAAGTTATGCAGCATTTTTACACTTCACTAAACTGTTTTCATGTACAAACTCATCTCTGTTTCATTCTTTGGGAGCCCCCTACATCATCCCTACATGGCTGTGGGCCAGTGGTGGTCCCATCTATCTCTGGTCCAGCCCTGAGCAACTCTCCCTGCCACACTGGCTGAGAATGGAAATCGGGAGAGAAAGTCAGATTGACGACCCATACCACACAGCCCTGTCCATCCATAGATACAACCAAGTCAGAAGCCCTGGGGGTCTATATCAGTGGTGCCCATGAAATATGAATGATCAGGCCTGGGTCAGACTCCCTAGCTCTTATGTGATCTTGTGCAAGTTAGCCTAGCCTCTTTCCCCCTCAGTTCCTTTGCCTGTAAAATAGTATTTATACCAGGGTCATCAACTAGAGTTGTGCAGAGGATCACATGTGATAACACATGACGAGTGCCTGTGCCCCCAGATGGTAATACCCACTCCTTCAATTGTAGCTTCCTTTCCCCCTAGAGCAGGTCCCGGAAGCCCTGCAGCCCTAGAACTTTAGCCTTGGAGGGACTTAGGGATCATCTGGAACAATAAGCAGTTTCCAGACTTTTAGATTTTAACCAAAAAAAAAAAAAAATTAAAACAAACAAAAAATTGGGCCAGCTGGAGAGCTGCTGACATTTGATTTGCAGGTCAGGGTGCAAAAGGTAATTATACAAAAGACTACAATCCACTATCATTTTTATTTCATAAAAGAAAAATATCTTAACCACCCTGTGTTTAAAAAAAAAGGGGGAGGAAGGGCATAATATCCAAATGAATTTAGCTTTGTCAAAAACCTTTTACATTGTCTTTTCTGAAAATCAAAGAAAACATCACAGACCAGTGTTAGGGAACCTCAGATCTTCATGCCTTTACTTTATGGATGAGGCAACCAAAGTGTGGAGAGGTGAAGTGATACCCCCAAGGTCACAGGCTGCAGTGTCTCATTGTTGCCTGGACTTAAGGGATCCTTTCATGTGCCTGAGACAGGAGCTCTGGCCCAGGAGTTAGGAGGTCAGGTCTCTTGTCCCAGCCATTTGCCCTTGAGCCCGAACTTTCTGCCTTTCCCATTTTTCTAAAATGGGGGTCATAATTGCCTCCTCACTCAATACCATGTTAGAACCTTATGAAGGAGGCACTTTAAAAGTCTGGGGAGATCCATCCCAGGTGGTTACTGAACGAGGTATTAGGAGTGAAAAGTCTCACTGTGATTTACTTGAAAATCCACTAACAAAACATGAATGAAGCAGGCATGGCAACATGTTAACAATGGTTAAATCTAGGTGATAGATATCTAGATGGGTATTGTTATGCTAATTTCCCTACTTTTCTGCATACTTGAATATTTTTACAATAAACATTCCATCATAAAAAAAAAGAGAGAAGTGCTCTGGCAAGGTAAATGGAAGGGATGGTATTACTCACTTGGAGAAGACGCCCTCAGGCAAGTCCGGGTGCGGGGCGCTGGTCAGGTGGGCCGCCCCCCCAGAAGATGGAGCAGCCCACTCTTCACCAGCCTTGGACACGGAGAGCCACGGTCAGAAAGTGCTTTTGGCTTCCTCTCTAATCAGGCCTGGTGCCTGTGGCTGGGTGAGGGAAGCCTCCAGCCCCTTCTTAGTGCAAGGCACCATCTGACAGACCCAGCCCTGTTGCAGCTACTGGCACTAAGGGAGAGTGGGTGCTGCCTAACCCAACCAACCGATGTGTGGGGCTTATGAATATGCAAATAAAGGCCAGAGCTGGTTGGCTGCCCACTGCCATCTCCCACCCCCACCCCAGTTCAGATGCCCATAAAGCCAGCTCAGAGAAGACCTTTCTGAAATGCCATCTATTCTGTCTTTGCCTAAGGCCCCACAGAGCCCCTTGGAAATTTGGGAACTGAATTACCCAGTTTCACCCACTGCACTGGCCCCCCCACTTACTCTTGCTTCCAAATTCTCTAGAGAGGCAGCTCCAAAGTGAACATCTTCCCTGTGCCTCAAGCATGAAGAGGATACTGAAGCCAGCCTAGCATCAAGACAGGACATTTTAGTTCTGGAGGAAGGCATGGCTGTGTGACTTCTCCCTCCAGTAGAGGTCTGAACACTGTTGGGAAAGTGGTTTGCTGGGTCAAAAGCCTTATATCCGGCAAAGCTGGGGAAAACTTACTAGTTAAATCCACCTGCCCCAAAATTCACTCATATTTTGTCATCTCCTTCAGTTGGGGAAGTAGAAAGAATGTTGCAATATACAGCAATAAAAATCAGTGAACTCAGCTCAACTCAACATGGATAAATCTCCAAAACATTATGTTAAGTGAAAGAAATAAGCTACAGAATGGTACAGGCAATGTGATTCCACTTATATTACATTTTAAAATAGGCCAAACAATGTTTAGACTTTCACTGAGTATTCACCCTCCCCTTATTTTAAATTACAACTGACTGGAGAGATAGACAGGAAGATGGAATCTAGGTATCATGAGTAATACAAATTGAATATAGGGTATAGTCTCTATTTTAAGGAGCCCAGAGATGGAAGGGTAGGCTATAGCCCCATCTACTATCTGGTCAATAAATTCAAAAATATATAAGCAAAGATGTGAATGTTATAGTTCAGACCACACATGAGTATTGGGGAATTTCAGGTGAGAGAAAAGTATACTGTGCATATTACTTAAGGCAAGCTGCCCACTCTGGTGTTTATCATGAGCAGAGCCATTTATCCTTCCTTGAAACAAATTTTTTTCTTATATAATTTGAAAATAAACACATTTTTCTTCAATTTAAAACATAGGCAAAAACTGTGTATAGTTTAGGACACATGTGTATTGGAACTACAGTGAAAGTGAAGGGTTGGTTGATACATAATTCAGTGTGGGAGTGATGAATGCTAGGGGACTGGCAAGGAGGACCACACATGGGTATTCCTTTTATTACTTTTCTTTAAATCATACACATATACCCTCTGAATGTATATTTTACAATAAAAATTTTTTAAATTATCTTTTGAACTCTGCTGTAAACACAAGTTTATGAACTTGTATTCATAAACTCCTGTCCCCATAGATGATACTGTGTCCTGGGAGGCTCTAAATACAGAAGAGGGAGTGAACTTATTGGGTTGTACCTTGGGCTCCCAATATGGAAGCTTATATATGAATCTCAAGGAAATCAATTTCAACCTTTATTCTCTGAGAGGGACTTTGCATGCTACCATGCATGTATGCATACCTATGTGTGTGATGCCTAAGATTGTAATATCTAAGATTAACCTGGGTGATCACTAAAACTCCAGAAGAAATCCTTTGCCACATCATCCAGGCCTGAGCTTCTAAATTTTAGATTAAGAATCCCAAAAATTAAGTATTTAAAACTAAAAAACTTAAGTAGCTATCTAAGGAATATCAACAGCAAGCAACCCCTGCAAGGGATTGTCATAACTCTTGGTGACTGCTCTTGGACTCTGGCTGCATCAGGCAGTGTTGTGAGCATGGAGTACTTACTAGTCATTCAACTCGTATTTATCTAGTACCAAGCACTGGGTTCTGCTAAGGGGATTCAGGAAAACAGAGTCATCTTTCCCCTGGCTGCTCTGCCTAGTAGGAGACAGATAGGTAACCTGGACATCACAATGTAATGTAGAGATACAGACGCAATGCTTTGAAAGCATGGAAATGGTTTCTGTTAATTCTGCCAAAGGGGATTGAAAGGAATTCAAAAGAGACTTAGAGGATGATCAGGAGTCCCTAGGCAAACAGAATTTGGGAACAGCCCACACAGAGATGTGAAGGAATGCACACTGGGACAGTAGCGTGGCAGCACTAAAGCTCAACACCTGTGAGAATGTGGGAGGGGTGGCGGGCGATTACAACACAGCCAGAGGCTAGGTTGTCAGGCGCTGTGTCAAACTGAGGAGTTTGGACTTTATCTTACCAACGCGGAAAAGCAATTGAAAGACTTCAAAGGAGGGAGTGACAGGACTATATTGCATTTCAAAAGGATCCTTGACACAGGTGTGGAGGACAGTTTAGAGAGTGAGAATGGAGGCCCAAATTCCTTTAGACAGCTTTAAAAATAACCCAGGTGAAGGATGCTGAGAACTTGATTGGGGCAGCAGCAGGGCAAGAATGTTTTTTCCGTTTCTAGTTAGGGCTTCTGCCCAACCCCCTGGAATTCCAGTGGAGGTGCTTTCAGAGTTGGGGTGAGTGAAGGTACCATAAAGGTCCTAAGGACCAGGCAAGATGACTCAGCTAAAGAATCTGTCATGAGCAGGCACCAAGTAGCTCATTCAATCATTCATTCATTCTTAATTCCACCAAAGCTTGTATATGATTTAAAAAACAAACAAACCTTTTCTTTTAGGAAGGTGAGCTGTTAAGGTGAATACCCAGGGGCCTGGTGATTTAAGAGGGAAAACTACAGAGGGGAAGGAGGTGCTGTGTGCTTTCTCTTTGAAGGTAGCTGGCGGAATAGCATGCCCAAAGCGGAGAGATTTTCAAACGCCCATGAGTATTTATTGCGCACCTAATCTATGCCAATCTCTGTTCTAAATGCTGGGGATACAGCAGTGAACAAGACAGACAAGGTCTTTACTCATGGAGTTTATATTTTACGGGTAGAGTGATAGATGAACAGCCTCCAAAATGCTCTGGATGTATGGGAAATTATTAGCTTGGCTGCAAAGTGTTTGCGTTGGGACTCGGAAGATCAGAAGTTAGTTGCAGTAGTAATGGTACTCGGTGACTCTCTTCGGCTTGGTAAAGGGGCAAGGGGTGTCCTTTAGAGGTTCTTTGGGGCTGTTTCTTTGTTCCGGGGTTAGGAGGACAGGGAAGCAACAATTGCTTTTTTTAAATATTTGAGGAACCTGAGGCTCGGAGGCAATTTCACCCGCCCAAGGACACCAGTGTGAGATCAGGAAGACTTGTCTGCCAAGACCCGAGTTCAAAGCCCGTGCTCTCGCCTCCCTTTCTTTTCCAGTAGTGCAGAGGCGGGATGGCGCGGTGCCCTAGGGTCCAGGAGGGAAGGGCGCCAAGCTCAGAGCCAGATCTGATGACTGGCCTGGGAGAGCCGGACCCTGGGAGCGACCAGGTCGCCGGCGAGTCGTAGGCATCTTTAGAAGGACTGGCGTAGGCCGGAACGCAGCGCGGCGGGCTCCGAGCACCCCCGACCTCTATTGGCTCACCGGCGGGTGGGGGCTGCTCCGCGCTGCTCGCCAGGTCCCCCTGCCCGCCAGTGGTTCGCTCCGAACACCCCTCATTGGTGCGGCGGGTGCGGAATCCCGCCCCGCTTCCGGTTGTTGCAGGGCCCTACATCCGGTGTCCGCCCGCCCTCGGCTGCGCTGCCGCTGCCGCCGCCGTCACAATGCTGTCCCGGTCCCGCTGCGTGTCCCGGGCGTTCAGCCGTTCGCTCTTCGCTTTCCATAAGGTACGGTCCGGGTGGGCCGGGGTCTCGGAGGGTAAGAAACCGGCCGGCGGGCAGCCGGGCAGCCTGGGGGCAGGAGCGCGACGCAGTGGCCAAGCCGAGCAACAAGGACACCGGGACGCGGAGGCCTCCGCGGGCTGGGCGGCCCAGGGCCGTCGTTGCACTTAGCTGTCTTGCGAAGCCCTTCCCGCGGTTCCTCGCCTTCCCGCGGCAGCCGGGCACCATCCCCTGCTCCACCCCGTCCTCCGCGCCGCGGCCGAGGAGCCGCCCAGAGCTGCGCCCGCCCTGACACGAGACTCAAGAGTTGGGGAGGAGGCGCCGCGGAGTCCCCGACGGGATCCGGGGGCCCGTTCCCTGTCTCCTGTTTAGAGCAGTGGGTATCAGTCCCGTTGGCAAGTTGAGCTAGTTTGGCAGGCCCAGTGTGCTGACTGGGACTGAAATCCCTGGCTGTTGCATTTAGCATTTGGAGTCACGAGATTCACTTGTCACCAGCACCTGGACAGCTTTCAGTCTGTACTTAAAAGGAAAAGCAGTTTCTTCCCTCCTTTCATTTTGGGTGACGTCGATAATGTCTTCTTTCTCAACAGGGGAACTGCCCTCTAGGGAGACGTTCCCTGCCTGGTAAGTTCTGTCCTTGCTGTCGCCTCAACTGCTCCCCTCCAGAGCAGAGCAGTATGTGAAAAATCGGGGTGCATATGTGCCTCCGCATAATGTTCAGATAGGAACGAAACAAAATGCTATTTAACAATAACATCTATCATGTATTCATTTAGTACATAGTTACTGAATTTCAACTGTGTGTCAGGTATTGTGCTAGGCACTCAGGGATATAGTATTTAACAATTCGTGCCCTCCTGGAGGTTACAGTCTAATGGGAAAGAGTGTAAATTTCTGAGCTAATGAATGAATTTTAGTAAAGTGCTGAGAAGGAAACTAATGAAAGTACACAGACAAGACCCCTTTAGTAGGTGACATTAAAGCTATGACCTGGAGGATGTGACAGAGGCCAGCCCAGTGAAGATCAGAAGAAGGAAAGGGAATAGCATATACGAAATCTCTGTTGAAAGAAAGAGCTTGCAGTGTTTTGGAACTAGAAAAAAACTTGGCCAGAGCATTTTGGTGAAGGGAGAGAGTGGCATGAGACAGACTTAGTGTAGAAATTATTGCAAAGAATTTAGATTTTATGTTAATAATTTTTTATATGCCTGGCATAAATATTTGTTGAATGAATCGATCTTAATTGTGGACTTTCTGTGTGCCATCCATTGTACTCAGTGCTTTCTGTGCATTTTTCAGTAAATCACCAAGAAACAGGTATTCTGTTTTACAAGTGTATAACCCAAGGCTAAGGGAGGTTAAGTGCCTTGACCAAGGTCACTCAACCAACTGTTGGTCAAGTCAGGTCTACATGATGCCTCAACCTGAACTCTTAGCCCACCATGTTATCATTTATTCAGGCACTCAACAGATTATTAATTGAGTTCTTACTACATGCCAGACACTGTGGTAGGTACAGGGATACAGATGGTCTCTACCCTCGAGGATCTTATGGGCTAGCTGGAGAGACAGCAAATACACATTTATGCACACATAAGGATATGATTACATTGTGATGACTGTGAAAAGGAAGTGCGGGTTGTAATGAGAGGGTGGCATGATGTAGCCCAGCTCCGGGTGTTGGAGAGTGTGGTGGGAATGTCAGTAAAGGCTTCCCTGAAGAAGTGACATTGAAGCCAAGTCTTGAAGAATGAGGAGTTGGCCAAGGAAACAGTATTCCAGCCAAAGGGAATTGCTTGTGAAAAAGTTTTCAAGCAGAAAGGGACTTAACCAGTGATAGGAAAGGAAAGAAAAGCCTTTTTGGCTGGAAAGATAGGGAGGGCTGGACAGTACAGGAATGTGTAAAGATTTTGGACTTTATCCTAAAAGTCATGGGAACTTAGGCACCTAGCACAGTGTTAGCTCATAGGGACTCTCATTAATACTCTTTTTAGGAATAAATATTCTTTTATTCTTTTTTTTAATAAAAAATATCAGTAGACATTTTCTCCATTTGTAGACTGGCAGGACAATGGGAAGAACTATGTGCTTGGGGTTGGCATCATGGTTCAGGGCTTCACCTTGGGCTAGTCACTAACCTCTAGAAGTCCTACTTAAATATGAAATGGGAGTAATGGCAGGTGGTTGTTCAACTTCAGGGAGTTGTGAGACATGAAAATCAAAATGAGGTCATCGTGTGAAAACTTTTTATAAACCCTGAAGCACTATACAAATGAAACTTGCTGTAGGATGAACTCTAATTGGACTCAGGGTTCCAAGAATCAGGATGGGCTGCTGGCTGTTTTAAGTCAAAGACATGCTGTATGTGGGGATTGGTACTGCGGAGTCATTAGCTGCTGGTCATAGAGATGAATGACATTGAATCTCTGGGGATTTTCTCAAGAAGGTGGGCACTAGAGAGAGCGCTCTCCAATTTGGTGTCTCCTGAATGGTTCAGAAAGAGTTATTAATAGACTAGAAAAAAAATAGGTTAAAAAAATGTCAGGTGAGGCAGCTACAGTAATTAGTTGTCAGTTGGGGAAATGCGGTTTATCTTTGAGGACAGTTGGGAAGGCAGAAAAGGGCTCCCACCTTATGGAGTGTGACCAAAGTTGAAGACCTCAGGAAGAGCCTGGGAAGAAAAAGTGAAAGGAGAGAGAATGATTTGCTCAGTCCTAGGGCACCCTGGAGACCCTGGGTTGGTTGAAAGTAGCGCAGTCTTTGCTACTAGAGTTCAGGCAGTAAGACTTCCAGGTCAGTGCATTTTAAGTAACCAGGGAAACAGAAACTAGACCGAACATTCCCTCTGCTTCTCAGATGAGGCTCTGCAAAATGACAGGATAAGCCATCACATGTCTTTCTCAGGCTTCAGTTGTATTTGAAGATTTGGGGCATAGAGACATTTAATTATGGAAACATACAGGGATGTTGAAAGTTTATGAATTTTAAGGTAAGATTATAAAACTACTTCAAGCTATGCCCTTAGAATTCTCTCCTTTCCTCCCTAAACACATACCTACTTTCAACCACACATAACCTGCTATTCTCTGCCATCACAGTTACTTTGGTGGGAAAGTTTGAGAAGCAGTACTCTGTGTGATAAGGATTATATTGTTGCCTGCGGTTGATCCTTCTATCTCAGAGTTAGGGGGTGAACAGACTTCTTTTCCATTCCCAGCAGGTATCCTGTGTAAGATAGGAGTTGTTGGTTAAGAGTTGTTTTGTTTCTTGCAGGGGTCTCCTTATGTCAGGGACCAGGTTACCCTGACAACAGGAAGATTGTGTAAGTATCACTGGGGAGCACAGATATGTGGTGATGGGGTATTTAAGATACCAGTTCTAAATCTGACCATCTGCTTTCTTCACTGCTCTAGGCCTAGAAATTGAGGTGGTTATGTTGAGTCCCTAGACCTAACCTTGATGTTAATTTATGACGCATGATGCATCTTGAGCTTTAGCCCCTGGCCAGCCAGGAGTGTGCCTGTCCTCAGATATTCAGATTATAACAAAAGTGAAGTTGGAACTCTCTTTTTATGGGAATACGTATAGGTGGGTGCTCCTAAATATTCTGGTTGGATACAAGTGCAGCTGAAGGGCTGGAAGTTACATTAATTGTGGTGATTGAGAGCATCCTCTTGGTAGTATAGTTACTCTTTTTAGAAACAGTAAAAGCAAAAGACTAGTTGGTTGAGTCCTGGGACTTTTACTAGTTTGGAGGGAATGTGGTATTGCATCATGCAAAGTTTGGAGAAAGGCCACCCATGTGTGTTTCAGATTAACTTCTGCTTGTGAATTTTGCTTAATGCTATTTTGCATTCTAAGTATTTTCAGGGTGGTAAGAGGACGCTTTCTAGTTACCTGTGAAACAGCTATCAAGCTACTTTCTACAGGAAGAATCCTCAAAGAAGGGTCAACAGTTAGCTCTTTTTTCACTGTCCATCACAATGGGTTTTTTTTTTTAATTGAGAAAAAGGGTGTACTCTATACTGCATTCAATACTAAAAGCATGAATTCCTGTATTATTTTTGGATGGCAGTTTGGCATTCATAAATCTTGGAACGTGTGTAACTTTTGAGGTACTAATCCTGGTACACCAGATTTCTCTCAAAATGAACAAATAATAGGAGATTGGTTAAGCTATGCCCTGTTAACAGTATGAGAAGTGGGGAAAAGCAGGTTATAAAATGATTCCATTTTTTACTCTGCAGTATGATCTCATTTTAAATGTTCTTTTTGCTGTTCCAAAATTCTGCAATGAACATCTAATACTTTTGTAATAAAAAAATTACTTAGAAAGCTTCAGAAATGTGCTGCTCATCTGCAATTTAAATGAAAGTCAGAGCAACCATGTATCTATGCAATAAATACAACCACAATAAGTACAATAAAAATAACTTCTTGAAAGTATATTATTTTTAAAAAACCCTAAACTTTGAGGGGTAAGATCACACATTAGATTAAGGTATCACCCTAATCTAGTAACTTTTTTTGTGTTGGCTTTTTTCTGTGACTAAGGTACCCCCTTTACTTAAAAAATCTTTTATTATAAGACTTGTTTTATGGTTTTATGTTTTTTTTTAATAGGTTATACATTTACATGATTCAAAAGTAAAAAGATTATTCGTGAAAAGACTCTATCCTTATTCTCCATTGCCACCAAGTTCCTCTTCCTAGAGACAGCAGGCGCCCCAGGTTCCTGGCTGTCCTTGCACAGCATTCTCTGCATTTGCACATAACCCATTAGTCCTTGTCCAAGAGCAGGTACGCGTACATGCTTAAAAACTATACAGAACACCTGCTTTCCTGTATTTTGTTATAACATACATTTTTTTCCCTTGGTTCTACATAGACCTTATAGTAATTTTGACATAAAAGCAAAAATATCAAAGACAACTGAAGTCTGTTTTATTTTTCTGTTATAAAGGTGCTTGTTGTAGAATATTCTGACAGTCCTGAAGTGTAGACAGTGAAAGTCCCCACCAGTCCAAATTACTCTCAGTATGTGTACATACATAATGAATAACCATAATGTTGTATACATGTGCATCTCCCACTCTCCCCGGGTAACCACTGTTAATGGTTTTGTGCATACGAGGTGATATCATTCTCCAGTTTGCATTATTTAAAGTTAGTGCCATATCAGAGAATACCTCAGTCTTCTGAAGTTCCCCTTGAGTGAGTCCCAAATGGACTGATGTGCTGCCTCCTAGGAAGAGAATGGAGTAGGATATGCCGCGTGGGTATTTGGGGGATTTTGTTTTGTTTTTCACATAACACCTTGTTTTACTTACTAGTTAACTGTCTCATCTTGCTGCCTTATCTAAATCTGTTACCTTGGGGACAGAAATTCCATTGTACTTGGCACAGTGGCATGTACCTTGAGGGCACACAATTTGTCTGACTTGGGTTTAGATAAGGAAAAAAGTCAGGAAGCTAAATCCTTTTGGTGGGTATACAAAGGCCCCAGATACTTACCTTTTTTCTTCCCAGAACAAAATACAAGTCTCTGTTCTGTGAGAGCTGGCATTTCACTGCAGCACAAGGTCTGGATTCAACCAAAAACTCCCTACTTAAGGCACCCAAGTCATCCAGGCTCCCTGTGCCCCATCTCTGATTTAAAGGGAAGGTAGTTTATCTAGACTGTAGTGTGAGTGGTTCACCTGCTAAAGTACTTTACATCTATGTTTCTTTTGTAGCATTAACAGCTGTAGTGTGTTCAACGTTCGCTTCTTCAGAACTACAGTCCTGTGTAGTAAGTATTCACCTTCAGTTCCCTGCCTTCCTGGGAATGGAGTTTTAATGGGAAGAGCAACAATTGACAGGGTTTAATTAAAGAAAAAATTTTAAAGGAAAAATAAGGGCTATGTATGGTTTTCTTTTTTGTTTTTTTCCTAGAGGATGACGTGATCACAGTAAAAACCCCAGCGTTTGCAGAGTCTGTTACAGAGGGGGATGTCAGGTGGGAGAAAGGTGAGATTTAGTGCTCTTTCATTGCTTAAGTACTTCCTTAAAGTGTCTCCCTATTCCCCCCACCCCTCCCGTGGTAATCAGTGGACCCTGTGGCTCCACCCTTTTCTTTACATGCAGTGTGCTTTCTCCTGGCCTTTAGGAAAGGAGTCTTACAAGACACTTGTCAAAAGGGATTGTGTAGCTCCTAGAGGCTCTCCTACTAACAGGTAGCCTTTGTCTTTTTAGCTGTTGGAGACACAGTTGCAGAAGATGAAGTAATTTGTGAGATTGAAACTGACAAGGTAAGTTTGTCCTATAGTAGGACCACTTTTCTTGGTCTCCTCTTTAACCTAAAAGAAAGAAACAGGGACTTAACTGTGTTTAGAGATATTTTTAACTATCTAACTTCTGTTGTCAAAGTGTTAAAATAGTTCATTAAAAAGAAAAAGCTTTAAAAGGTTTAAAAGCTTTAAAAGGATGTATTAATTATCTTGTCTCTGGTCATTATTTCACAATCTTTGTGTAAGTATATATATAATTCATATGTATATCTCTATATAAGTTGTACACATTAAACATGTATATTTTATTTGCCAATAAAAAGGAAAAAAGGTTTAAAAGCTTTAAAATTTAAATTAATTTTAGATTGTTCTAGGTGTATGTACTATGTACTTTAGTAGCTTTAGTTTTATAGCTTTTTTCCTGTATGTGAATGAGCTATTGCCATTTGTTTTTCATGTATCACTTGGAAACACATTAATTGAAAATTGCCTTAATGTTTCTGAGAAAGGCTAAAGGGTAAATCTTCACAAGAGCATTGATTTGTCTTACTCTTACCTTGAAAGTGTGGCCTTGGTGTTTCTGTAGGTAGTGTCTTTTATATCTGTGTTGAAAATCTTGTGATTCATATTCAAGATTCAGTACAATTAATTTTTTAATGCTGAGTAAAAATTTGGACTCTCCATCTGTCTTCCTTTTCCAGACATCTGTGCAGGTTCCATCACCAGCAAATGGCGTGATTGAAGCTCTTTTGGTACCTGATGGGGGAAAAGTAGAAGGAGGCACTCCTCTTTTCACACTCAGGAAAACTGGCGGTAAAGAAGTTCTCCTGGTTGTCAAGGTCTCCAGTGTTCCCCCCTGGAACTGGGGCTGAGCATAATGTACTAATTCCTTGATACCTAAAGACTGTTTGGCCTTCCAATTGCCCTTAGTTGAGGGAATAAGACGGGTGATATTTATATAGTCTGAACTTTAAATACCAAGTTCTAGAAGAGGGTGTTAAAAAGAAAAAACCTCATGGTACCCTGTTCTTTGCATGTATGTTCCTTATGCTGGACCTTTTCTTAAAGATGTAATAGAAATGAAGAAGATTCCTAAGAGTGACTTTTTTTCCTTTTCCCCAGCCCTGGCATCAGGGTTACATGGGGGCTTTAAAAATAGTACAAATGCCTAGACTCTGTGGTCCAGGGAATCTGATACATTAAATCTGGGGTTATCAGATCTTGGTTGTCTGTCATTGTTTTTGTTGTTACTGTTTTTTTTAATGCTCTCCAAGTTATTCTTGGCCAGGACTGAGAGACACTGTTCTAAAGTGAGAAGCAGCAATATTTCATGGTGTCTATTATGGAGGATTCACTGTGGTTTTTTTCACATCTGTTCTCTACTAACATTGTAGAGGGTTGGTATTGCTCTTGGGAAGACATGAGAAACGAAAGAATTTGTAGTGGATCTTACAGTCAATATTAGAGATTAGAAAAGAAAATATTTTCTGATTCTTAAACGCTCTAACTACTGAAGTCTGTTTCTCACTGTTAAAACACTTAATCAGAGAGATGGTAGATAACATCATTGAGATTGATCAAGTCCAGACCAGAAGCCCAGAGTGGGAAAATGTGCAGTAGAAGGCTAGGGAATAAGATTGATTCTTCCCATTGAAGAATTCCATCTTCTGATCATTCATTCATTCCTTAAGAGTATTCTGAATTAAATATAAAACCAGACTTGATGTCCAGATGGGTAAAATCTAAGTGAACATCTAAAGTTGTGAGTTTATTACTTGACCACCTCATTAGTTTATGAGAGTCATCCTGGATGAAGTGCTTTGAACTTATGAATGAGCCCTTGATTATTTAAACTTTCATTTTTTAAGAGTTCTGAGTGTTCTTCCACATGTAATGTTTAAATAGAAGATGAGACTAACAATGTTACCATAACTAGAAATGTTAATTTTGTGTATGTATTGTAACATCTTACATTGCCTGGATTTTTTTGCTTGGAAGGTTTAAATAGAAGATGAGACTAGCAATGTTACCATAACTAGAAATGTTAATTTTGTGTATGTATTGTAACATCTTACATTGCCTGGATTTTTTTGCTTGTAAGGTTGTATTTCTATGGGCGTAGGTGCCTGGAAAGTATTTGCTGAATTTGATCAGTAGATATTTGTGAAATCAGGAAGGCAGCTGAGTTAAGTCAGTTACCTGGTGTAGGACATGTAGAAGCCCTGGGGAATAGAAGAGTAGTGCTGTGTATCATTGTGTGTGTCTTGTGGTGCCTTGCATATGGAGCAGATACCCAGTATGTATCTGTTCGTTGATTGGAGTTAGAGCTTTAGCTGCTAAATTCTGTAGTGTCAGCAGTTTGTTCGCTCTCCTTTCCAGGCAGTGACAACGGCATCTATATTTCTTATTTTCCAGCTGCTCCAGTGAAGGCCAAGCTGGCTGAAGCTCCTGCTGCTGCAGTCCCTAAAGCAGAGCCTACAACAAGAGCAGCTCCTCCCCCTGCAGCATCCATACCCACTCAGATGCCACCAGTGCCCTCACCTACACAGCCTCCCGTTAGCAAACCAGGTGAGCCTCCCTCTCCCGTGCATATGTAGCTGGGAGAAGAACATCTCATCTAATGTCATGTTCCCTCACAGAGCAAAGTCGGAGACTTCTTGTGACTGAACAGGCTCCACTGGCTGCTCTGTAGAAAGAACTCTAGACTTTGTATCAGAGGACCTGGTTTGCATCCCAGTTTTCTGTTTACAGCTTCATGACTTTAGGCTTGTTACTTAACTTCTCTGAGCAGATTGTTCATTTGTGACATGGGAATGGCCCTAGTATACCTCAGCATATCTTGATTAAGTGGCCTGGCAGGATGAAAGCACTGGCATGTACTCAGTGAATGCATCTCTGTTTCCTGATGCAGCTGCACCTTCTCTCGGTTTTCAGTGTCTGCGGTAAAACCCAGTGCCGCCCCTCCAGTAGCTGAGCCAGGAGCTGGCAAAGGACTGCGTTCAGAGCATCGGGTAAGCCTCTGAGGACCACTTCCAGGAAAGAGTTAGAAGGGGCAATGTTGAGATTAGTGGACAGTGAGTATGGTGGTGCTGCCTTGTGATGGCTGGCAGCTCATCCCCTTAGCCTTGACAAGAACAGTGAGTTTAGGAAGTGACTTGTTCCTGGTCACATAACTCTCAAATGTTAGGATGAGAGCTTGCGGTCTTCTGAACACCTGCCCAGTGGTTTTTCCCACTATATCATACTACCACTGAGGTGCCATGGGTGAGGAAAATACCTGCCCGGGACTGTTGTTTAGTCACATGCCCGTCCTTGCCACATTAACACACATGTCAGAGAGGTGGTTTAGTGAGCTCCCATTCCTAAACTTCTGGGATACTTAGCTGAGGGTGAGGTAGTAGCATAGCTGTCAGGCAGACATGAAACCTCGATGAAGTATGGTCAAGAGGATGGGTTCCTTTGCAGAGTGCCTCCTAAAAATACTGTAGCCTCAAAAGTTTGTTGCCTGTGAGTTTCCATTCCACAAGTAGCTATTCTCATACAAATCTTTATCATCAGAAATCACCCTCTCTATAATACTTCTTGCCTGGCTAGCCCTATTTCATAAATTGGCTTTGGTTTTTAAGTCAAACCATTTCCTGGGCCTCCATTCTTGGTCACATTTCAGGCGCATCTGAATGGGTAGGTCTTGTCTGTTTCCTCATTCTTGCTTAGAGGAGCAAGACCGGGAAAGAGGAAGTCTGGAGCTCTTGTACATAGATACTGTAGCCCTTGACCATCCAGTCCTGGAAAGCTGAGTGCTCCCTTGGACTAAGTGGGGAGTGCTTGATCCAAAGAGACCAGATTGTAGTACTTGTCCCACTTTCACTTTCAGGAGAAAATGAACAGGATGCGGCAGCGAATTGCTCAGCGTTTGAAGGAGGCCCAGAATACATGTGCAATGCTGACTACCTTCAATGAGATTGACATGAGGTGAGCACTTCAGTCCTCTTGCTCTGCAGGCCCTATTCTGGGAGAACAGTTGGACTTGGACCAGTCCCTACCTAGGGCTGATTCTGAAACCAACAGCAGAGAAGAGTTATTACTGTGTACTGCTTGTTGACTTACACAGAATGACCCATTGGTTTCATTTTCGAATTGACTGCTGATACTATGCCTTCCTCCTCTGTGACTTAAAAACTAAGCCTTTTAGACTCATACCTGAATCTTGTGACATCTGATAAATGAGGCTGGTTATAGTCTTAAACTCTCGGGTCTGCTCCTTGGGATAGAGATCACTTGGTAGTGTGCCCAGAGCCAGGGCCCTGCACCCTGCTTTTTTCTCATGGTCACTGCTCCTTATGTGTGTTCCTACATGGCTCAGAACTGGGTGGGTGAAAAGGCACATGCTTGTTGTATTTTTCACATTTCCCAGCTTTGATACTGAAAGTTGTGCTTTTTAAATAAACTTCAATATTTACTAAAGGGGCTAATTCAGTATACCATTTCTATTTCTGTAGTGAGCTAATTGTTGACTCACCTGTTTTCATCCAGATTTTGACATGTGTGAGTATCAGCACTAGGGAAGAGGCTGTAGTTAACATTTTTTTAAGCACTTAACTGTGTACAAGATACTACACTGTATTTGAGGGAGATACAAAGAGGAGTGGAAAGAACCCCTCCTGTTCTGGAGCTTCCAGGCTTGAATAAACCGAAGTAAAATCTACAAAAGTAAGTATCAGAAGGGTACAAAGAGCATGAAGTGGATAAGAGAATGAGATCATCTGTTTTTGAGGAGAAGGTAGACATACGGAGGGTAGGGTCAGGGAAGTGCTTCCTGTAGAAAAGAGATTTTTAATAGACAAAGAGCAACTAGCATTTTGATACAGCACTGTGGAGAATGGTCATTTCAGACAATGTTAGCAATATGGATCTGACACATACAGGAAAGTACAAGACACATTTGAGAAATATCTGTGGTGAGGAATATGCATAAAAAATAGTAAGGGGAGTTGGATCCATATTTGAGAATGTTCTGAATGCCAGGGGTAAGTTTATATTTAATTCAGGAAGTAAGTCATTAAGTCTAAAGGCTGTCACATTTCTTCTTTTTGTTCTAAACGTTTACTCTGTTAACCCACTTTTCATTAGGGAATCTGTTTTCCTTTGGGAGGGGTCTGAAGAGTATAGAGAAAGGAGCACTTTATTGAAAGTATGCTGTGACCCTGTTTGCAGGGGAGGGCTCTGTGGCCTCTCACTAGATATCATCCATTCCATTGTGAAGCTTCCTGAAAAGACTGGATGTCATTCAAGCCAAAGACTCCTCTTCTATCCATAGGACGTAGGAAAGGACCTTGACTAATGAGCCAGAAAGGCTGCAGCTTATGTTTCAGTGCATTAGGACCAAATTGTACTCAAATTGAATTGGACTTTGAAATTCTACCCAATTCCTTAAGACAAAACATGTAAATATTTGTGGCCTCAGAAGGTGCACTTGGCCCAACAGCTTTGATTGGAAGGGAAGTGTAATAGCTGGATCTCCTTTCAGGAGCTAATCGAGGTGTCACTTAATGATGGCCTGGGGTCTCACTGCAGTCAGTAATCTGGTTTAGATTGAGTGCCCTTTGGGTCTTGTGCTAATCAGCTAACCCATAGGGGCCCTTCTGAGACTCTCTCTTCTCCCTTGTTGTCCCAGCCTCTGCCTCCAAGGGCAGAGCTCTGAAATAGAAACTACTTAATGACCAGACAATAGCATTTGGGCAGGTTTGAGAGCAGAGATGTTTATCACATCCTTTTCCCTCTTCTGCAGCTCTTGTGTCTTGGGAACCAATAATTTCTTTAGGGTAGTAATCCTAGCACTAAATAAGGTTAGACTCAGGAAAACAAACATTTAAACCCAATCAGTTCCCCTAGGAAAACTTCCTTTTTCAGAAGCAAAGGTCTGAAGGCGGGGAGGGGGCGGCAGTGTTAAAGCTATGCCATCTTATCTTTTGTGCTAATGTCAAATTAGACCATTATAGGGAGAAAGGAAAAACTGAGCTTTTGGCCTGAGATAAAGTTAAATTCAATTTCCGTCATAGAACAGTATTCTGATAAATACTGAGGTTTCTGCAAAAAATGGTGAGAAGCCATTTCCCACTAATTCTGCAGTATGTTTGGTATGTATGTAGAAAAACCAGTCCTGAAGTAGCAAAGGCTTCTCAGAAGGCCCTGCTGCTCATACTTGAAAAGCTTAGGTCTACACTTGGCCACTTTTCTAAATATCAGGGATACCACATCCATTAAACTGACCTTAATTTAAGGACAAGAGCTGTGTCTTTATGATCATTCTGTCTTGGTGTCCAGCGCTGACCCTTGCATGTGGTGGGTGTTAGCACCTGACTAACGAGGGGGTGGAACTGCCAGCTCTGGGGAGGTGAATGGATCAGCTGCCTTTCCAGTGAGCCTGAAAGGACACTGGGTCATACACGCCATGTATAGTTGTGACCACCTTTGCTCACTCACATAGAACTCACACACAGGTGGAGTTTTGGGGTTTTGTGTGTTTATTTGTCTTCACTAATTAGGAGATAAAAAGAATGTTGTCAGAAGGAAGTCCTAATCAGGTTAGGTGGGTTTTTTTAGAAATAAACCTGACAAAAAATAAAAAGAATATTGCTTATTTTGTGGACTTTCTTTATGCTCAAAAACTTTTTTTTTCTTCAGGGAAGAGAGCTCATGATTTTAGTGTAACTGGAAATTACTTTCTCATCTAGGGCAAAGATGTTGGTGCGCTGTGTGATCTCTTGTTCATTATCTGTCACTGAAATCTGTGGCTTCTGGAACATAAAGGATCCCTGTAAAGGGCTCCACCTACCTTGAAGACAGAATAGACCTGATTCTTTGTTATGCATTTTGTAAAGGAACAAAGCTATTTTGTTGACCTGTAGTGGACTATATCAAAACTTGAACTTAGGTAGATGGTCCAGAGTAAGGGAAAAAACCTTACCCGATTGTGTACATGGAGTTAGAAACCAACATGAAAGTCAGAATCAAGGCTTTGTTCTGTAATGTGTTTTTGCAGTAACATCCAGGAGATGAGGGCTCGGCACAAAGATGCTTTTCTGAAGAAACATAACCTCAAACTAGGCTTCATGTCGGCATTTGTGAAGGCCTCAGCCTTTGCTTTACAGGAGCAGCCTGTTGTAAATGCAGGTGAGTTTGTGGTGGCCAGAATCACAGAGGTCTTGGGAGGTATGTGTATGAACACAGACCTGCTCCCACACAGACAGAAAGACGAGGGTCAACAGACCAAGACTTTAAATTTCAGAATAAAAAGAAAACACGAGTGTCTTCCCTAGTCATTTCTTGATTCACCTTCCTGAAATGGAATCTTGATTATTTTCTCTCCACTAGTTGGGCAGAAAAATTTCTTCTCCCAGTGCTCAGGTTGGCGGCTGCTCTGGCAGCAAGCATTTCTGAGCCAGCCCAGCTCTCTAGCTTCTCATGTCAGGGAGGAGGCTCCTGTTCTGTCCGGCACCCACTTTCCCATGGGCCTTGTTATGTTGGGACCTGACTTCTACACTTGGCACAGGCTCCAGGGTGACCTTTATTTCTGGTCAATGGGCCTCCTTGAGAGGCCATGGGCGTGGTCCCTCTTTCATGGGCTTGCTGCTCCTTTTCCTTACCTTTTACTCACCTACCTCATTGAAATGTTGACCCAACAAGCAGTTCTCTTTCCTTTTGAGACACTTCTCTGTTGCTGGGAAGATTAGAGATGGGTCAGTGACATTTTTGCGATCCTCAGCAGTGCCAGGGTCCCTAAAGATCTAGAAATAGAAGCCCTAGTCCCTTCCATTAAGTGGTGTGTTCTAGGTAGGTAGAAGACTGGTTTTGTTCTGCCCAAATGTGTACCTCTTTGTTTCTTCCATTCTTCTCCTGCTTCCTGATTGACTCCTCCATCCCTTTGCTCTGCCTGCAGCACATGTAGGGATTTTCAGAGTTTTCTTGGCCTCTTTTCCTGCGTGTCTTATCTAACAATACAACAAACTTAAACTTTCTGTAGAAAAGATTGCCAAGCATGTATTTTCTCCTGAGCACTTGAGCTAAATTTCCAGCTGCTGGTTTGCTAGCTTGTGCTACAATATTAAAGCCAGACCACCTGCTTTTTCCTGAGTCTCCTAGAAAGAGGCTTCCCTCACCCCTTTATGAGTGTGGGCAGCAGGATGGGCAGTGCCCATTCCCCCTTGCTAATTTGTCTTTTTGGGAGCACTTTGTAAACCCGGTTGTTCTCTGCTCAGAGAGGGCTTGAGTAGTAGTTAACAAGAGCCTGGTGCACACAATACCCTGTGTGAGCCAGGGTATTGAGCCCTTCTGAGGGCTGCCAAAGAAATGGATGCACCTGTGCTCAGGCTCAGTCAGGGCACTTGGGAGATGTCACGATGGGTTAGTACTGGGAGTAAAGGAATCTGCCGCTTGTAACACGGTGGTTTTCATGTTCATTGCTCAGCCCACACTGTACCAAGCATTGTGGATTTTTACTCTGTCAGTGCAAATATTACCTCATTAGCTTAGACCTGGGGAGTTGTGTGTAATGTGTGTTTGCTCTCTCACAGTGATTGACGATACAACCAAAGAGGTGGTGTATAGGGATTATATCGACATCAGCGTTGCGGTGGCCACCCCACGGGTATGTCAGGAGGAGGTGGGGAGCTCTGGTCTGGGATTCTCACCTTATTTGTGTGAAGAAGCAGACCCCTAGGAGAGATCACTTCTGTAATTCTGCCTTTTTAGAAGGGAGCTAGTAAAAGAGTAACCATTTTTTGACTGCACCACATTTTTTTAATGTCAAGCCTAAAATATTCTAGACTCTTGTTAATCACATTGAGTAATTAGGATGTTCTGGGGAGGAGAGACCATTGGCTTCAATCAAGGGAGTTGTAACTATAAGGGGTACTGGGATATAAGGGGTATAATCTGCAACTAAAAACAGCTTTTCAATCTCATCAGGGACTGGTGGTTCCCGTCATCAGGAACGTGGAAGCTATGAATTTTGCAGATATTGAGCGAACCATCAGTGAATTGGGAGAAAAGGTAAAGTGGAAAGCAGCATGTATATCAGGTGCTGGGCAGGTCGGACAGGAGAGACAGGGCAGGCAGGGCTTGCCAGTGAGGGGTGCTCAGGATGCTGGTGCTTCTCTCTGTTCTGGAGGAGAGCCCCTGAGAATCGCGATGGCCCACAGTGGCAGAAGCCCAGATACCTGGAGGGCTTAGCTTGCTCTCGTGACTGAAGATCTCATCAGATGAGACCTGCTGGGAAAAGAAAAGGTCCCGTCATGCGTTTCCCATGGTGGAGCACTAGTCCTAGACATCTCAGCTGAACGACTTCCATGTTGAAGCTAGAGGTGGACTGCTAATCTCAAATAGGAACCTTCTGGACTTCCTTTAGGGGCAGAAAGCTGGGTTGAACTAATATTTCAATTATGAAATCTGTTTTTAGGCCCGGAAGAATGAACTTGCCATTGAAGATATGGATGGTGGTACTTTCACCATTAGCAACGGAGGTGTTTTTGGCTCACTCTTTGGAACACCCATTATCAACCCCCCTCAGTCTGCCATCCTGGGCATGCATGCCATCTTTGACAGGCCAGTGGCTGTGGGAGGCCAGGTAAGAGCCATCACTGCTAATGTCCTAGCAGCTAGGTAAAATCTAACGAAATGCTAATTAGAAAAAATGTACTATAATTTCAGGCAGAAGTTCTCTCTCTCAGTTTCTAATTGCTAAGGCACGGAATTCTCCCATTGTGGTGTGTGGATCAGCATTCCCCAGGAACTTGTTAGAAATGCAAATTCTCGGGCCCCTGTTGAAGCAGAAACTGCAGGTGATTCGGATGCATATTAAAGTTTGAGGACCACTGAGCTGATAAGACTTGCTCCTTCATCTGGGACAGTCTACAAGCTTCATTCTTTAAGTGCTATAGGGAATGGGAATACAGTTGGAAACATGATCCTTGCTCCTGGGAAACAGGACAACAATACAGAGCAATCTACAAGCTGCCAAGTGCATGACAAGGCTCAGAGGTTCTCTGGGAGTTTAGGGAATGAAGTCAGAGGGTCTCCATGAGTTGGTCCTGGAAGATATGTTGGTAGGAAAACATTTTCTGGGACTGCTGTGTTTGGAACCTTTCTGGGGTCACTAACTCCTTTGTTAATACAAAAATCATAGATCTTGTTCCCTGTAAAGGCTCACATGCCCAAATTTTCATACAAATTCAGAGAATCGGTGGACCCCAGGATTTTAAAAAAACTTAAAAAAAAAATCGCAACACTAAAGAAGAAACTTGCTGGCAGCCAGAAGTGAAGGGGGAACTTTCCCTTTTGACAACAGATGAATAAAAGGGCAGAGTATGTTTTAAAAAAGCAGTTGAGGAGACTCCTATTTTCTTGGTTAAGCTTTGTTTTTGAGTCTGGGAGCTTTGCCGTAAAGTTAAGGCTTGGCCATTGAAAATATTTATCCAGAAGCAGCATTATTAAGGATGGCTCTGGAGCTGGGAACTTTCCTCTGGGCTGTGCTTTCTCATCTGCCCCTTTCAGCAGGGATTTCTCTAACCTGCTGCAAACACCTGTCCACCACTTCTCTCTGCAGGTGGAAGTGCGGCCCATGATGTTTGTGGCACTGACGTATGATCACCGACTGATCGATGGCAGAGAGGCTGTGACTTTTCTCCGCAAAATCAAGGCAGCGGTAGAGGATCCCAGAGTCCTCCTACTGGACCTTTAGAAGGAAGCCACACGCCCTACACATCCACCATGCAGGAACTGAAAACCAGTCCTCTCCCTGTCCCCTCATGGGTCCCGGGTTAGCCTGGTGACCGACAGGCACATGCTGTTGGCCTCAAGGAAGGAAGCCAGGGCACGATGTAACCAGCAGTCGCAGGTCTTTTCTTGGTGTTCCTGCCGGGCTCTCTCCCTCTCTGTACTGTTCTCTTACACCCAGAGCTATTATATCCTTAGACTTGAGAGAGAGAGAGAGATCCTTAAGGGACGCACATTAATATTCCTGCCTTTCTCCTATTAGCCCTCCACAGAGATGATTAAGCTTCTCCCGTGCCGGTGTACCATAGGGAACCACCGAGGACCATGTGATTATGCTTATATCTTTTGGAAGCCTATTCTCCAGAGACATCTAGGAGAGTGCTGTGCCTCCTAAGCTCAGAGCAGCCACTGGGCACATTCTCACCAAGTCCCACCTGTGGAGGGATTGACCATAGGCCACTAGGTGCTGCTTTGCTTATTAAATGGCACCCTCATTCTCAGCTGTCAGTGACTTCAAGATGCCTCTTCTACCTCTTCCAGGAAGCACAGGCCAGAGATTGGGATAGAAGGGGTGGGCAGCGTTGGGGAGAGGGCAGATTCCCTTAGGTCCTATGTCTTGAACAGGACGGGGCAGAACCCAGGCTTGCCCTCACGCTCTGTCATAGCCTCACTCTGGGAAGACCCATTTTGGCACACTCCCAGCTGTGGTTCTGCCAACTTTTTCAGGCTTCTAGGAACCATTCCAGCATATTGTTCTCTTAGAGCAGATTCTGGCATCACGGCAGTAGACTAGAGAGCATGGTCATAACCATGGGCTGGAGCCTGGTGGAGACTGCGGTGAGGGAGGCTTCCTGTGGACTGCCTCAGATTGACTCGAGCTTTTAAATTCCACTGGTATATGCGTGTGGGCTAAAGAGGCAGTTCTATTCCTTCCTGTATTGTGGCCCTTAGGGAGTGGGGCCTTAACTCCTCTACAGAACACAGGTCTGGGGGAGGATGAACTGGGGTGGAAACCAGCCCCAAGATGCTAGGACATATTGGGGAAATGGTCACTGTCACCTCTGAGGTACTGCCCACTGGGTCTGGGCACAATCATTGGAATTCCTTGGAACTTGGTTCAATGCACATATGTTGTGAAAGTTACCAGGCTTCATCACTTTGTATCCAACCACATCCAGACCTGAGGCTGCTGACCCTTGACACCTGGAGCCATTTTAATGTGCAATGCCCAATTGTATCCTGAGCGAAGAGTCAAGGCCTTATGGGTAGGGTGGGGGGCAGGGATGGGAGCCAATACTGAGTGCCTGCAGCATCTAAGTCTTCACTATTCAGAACTTAAAAATATTTAAAGAAACTGATTTTAAATGCAAATTAAAGGGCAAATGTTCTCAAATGGTTCCTGCTTCTGAGCCCCTTTGGTTACTGAGGTTGTACCATTCTCTAGCCTGTGGTTGGCATTGGCATTGAAAGCCACATAATGTCCTGTTGGTTACCCTGTGAGATTCCAGACTTTTGAAGTTAACCCTGTACTACTGTGAGAAGGTGGAACCCTGATTGGCTGTCAGGACAGTGGCCCTGCTGCTTGTCAGTGAGCCCCTCAAGCCTGGCAAGCTGTACTCTTGAATAGAAATTGGTTCCCACCTTTGTGAAGCCCCTTCAGACATCAATAGGTATTTGCATTTTTGTGGGGGTTTGCGTTATTTCTGGGATGTATTGGGAGGACAGGTGACAGATAATTTTGAATTTTAGATTTGTCACATGTATCAAGATGCTCAAGGGCAGTAAGAACATGTGAAAGTCCGTTTCCTGGGAGCAGTGACCTGGAGGGTGAGTATACAGGGTTGGGAGCTAACCTGGGCTGCCTGCAGGTAGTACAATCTCTTGCTTGCAGTGATACAATCTCTGTATGAAGGACTGTCACAGTAACTGTGTGGTTCTGTCTCTACATAGGAAAAAAAAGCATTCAGTGAAAGGAAGAATTTTAGAATTACTAGGTCTGGGGCATGGTGCTAGAAGCTTTAATTCTTCTAATAAACCTACAAAGGAGGTGTGATCAGCCCTATTTTATTTGAAGGTGGTAGACTATAAGCCCTATAAGGACCACAGTATTCAAAACTCAAAGCCTAGCCACCTCAGAACCTGAGGTGTTCAGTGTTCGCTATATGGATGAGGCCCAGAAGTTACAGAAGCAACTTATGCTTTGTGCAGCAGTGGTTGGAAGTGATCCAGCCTGACTTAGTGTAGCAAAAGGAACACAGACTTCTGAACTGGCTCCGCCAGGCTTTGACCAGGTTCTATCATTAATCTCTGAACAGGCACCACCATCCATCTCATGGGGTCACTGTGAGTATTAAACCAGTATTTCCCGCCCAAGCCTGTCACCCTCTCCCAACACTTCTCATCCCTATTTTATTTCCCACAGATCCCAGTAGGCACTACGTGCCAGCATTTCCCTGCAGGTGCAAAGCTGCTCTGCAGGGCAGAGGCTGACATGCCATGTATTACCAGCCCTGCTTCCTACTTGCTAGCAGAGTCCAAGCTCATTCTTGGCTATCCTGGAGCTTCTCTGAGAGCCTCCCAATTTCCTGGTTCCAGCAGGGCTGTTCTCACTGTACTAATGAAGCAAGGACACCATAGGCAACAGCAGGCTTTATTGGGAGGTGGGGGGTTCTATGGGCAAGCCCCAGGGAAAGCCACATAGGCTGTGTGCGTTCCCATGTCCTTGCTGACCGAGTCATCCTGGCCTCCCCACAGCCCAGGTGCATGCCCCAAGTGAGGCCTTCACAGACTGGAGAACAGTGTCCGAGGCGCCACCTGGTGGTGTCAGGGACACACTGGAAGGAGTTGGGGCCAGAGATCCGCTGTCCGCTGGAAGTTTCTGTTTTAGGTGCCCCACCCCAGTGACAGTGTGAGTCCTGAGTGGAATAGGTGAGCCTCCAAACTTGGGGAAGGGATCGTCTTTGGGGGTAACTACCCCAGGCTCTAAAGAAACCAGAAATATCTTGCTTCTAGCTAAAAACTTCGGCACTCATTCTGTGTGTCTTGTGATTTCTCATTTTAAAAGGGGATGGGGTCACAGTGCACTATGAATTGAGTGGAGCCTAAGACTAAAATACAAAATGGTAAATGGAAAATGCCTGAGAAGGGAACCCTAATGGGTACAACTTATCTTAACAGCTTCAGCCTGAAGGCTGATTCGTGGTTTCTCAGACCCATCAGGCAGGCTCCCTGCAGTCCACACCCGTGGACTACGTGCGCAAAAGATCTTACTCTGTTTTCAAAACTGCTTTAAGCGGCAAGCTGTGCATTCCCCCCTCTCCCCATTCCTTATCCTTACTGTGTTCCCCTCCCTCTTGCTCCAAAGTCTAAAATCACAAGATAGGGGGCATGGTAAAGGTGGGGGGAGTGGATCACCCTGTCCCCTATTTCACCCAATGCCCACTACAGATGTCTTTCCTGCTTCCCTGGCCTGCTCACCCCAGCAGGTGTAGCCTGGTAGAAGAGGCCCACTTAGCATGGCTGTGATGACCAGCCAGAGAGCCCTGGTTTGGGTCCATTGAGCCAGTGGACTGGTATCGTGAGAAGAGACTCCAGAGATGTCCCAAGTGGGACAGATAATGAGTCACAAAACCTGGTCAGCTAAGCAGATGGTCAGTAGTCCAGTGCTAAGGAGGCAGAGGCACCCTTTAACACATAGATATGCATTCAAGGTACAGGGTGTGCACAACAGATACCTGTTGAGTGATGGGTGGAGGGCTCCAAGCCACTGAGCAGGGGGAGATCTCCCTTCCCAACCCTCCCCCTCAGCAGTGACCACAGTGGGTTTCTCCAAGAGCTGGCTGGGCATTCCCTAGGCCCTTCCTGGGCAGTGGCAGTTACTTCTGAGGCACAAGGGAGGGGGCTGACCAGGAAAGGCTGCTGCCCTGCATTCTTTGCCTGAGGGTCACTGAGTAGAAGGGCCAGCTCTGGGTGGCAGGCAGGAAGAGGGGAGATCCAGACCAGTCCAGCTGCTTCTGTTGCCTACTCCACCGGCCCTTACCCCACCAGTTTGCTCCACTGGGTGGTACTGAAAAAGGGGTGGGACTTGAGCTTGTTGATACCATCTCCTCCAGCACCCAGGCGCCGGGTGGGATCAAACTGCAGCAGCTGAGGAGGAAGACCCAGTAAGCGCCAAGAGGCCTTCCCAGCCTCTTTGCTGAGGCCTGGGGGGACCTCTGGGGACTCCCAGTCATCAGGGCCCTGGGGCTGCCAGCATGGCCAACAGAACCTGGGGAACACTGTTATTGTTTGGCCACCAGCATATAGGAATTCCTTGTCCCTATGACCCTCCTGCACCCACATCGGACATCTAGTCAGCAGTACACACAGGGTTCTGCCCTCTCAGCACCCACCCTTAGGCCAAGAAGCTTCCCTCTTGAGGCCAGCTGTACCTCACCTCAGTCAGCAGGGAGGCCGCTGGGCGACTGAGCCACTCGGGCAGCTGAAGCTGGGTGTGGGCCTGGATTCCCGAAGGGTGGCTCTGGGACAGTGCCTGGGAAGACAAAGGGAGGGGCCTCTGACGAGGCAACCCCAGGGAAGTCTGGACACTCCAGGGGCAGCCAGGATTTTACTTTTTCCCTGTGTCATCCCATGGATATGATGACGATTGGATCGTTGCCTTCTGCTTTGATTCTACTATGTACTAGGCTGGGGAAGATGCCTGCCATCCATTATCTGTAATTTCCACAACTAAGTATGAATATTCCTATTTTAAAGACAAGAAGCAGACTCAGAGAGGTAAAGAGACTTGTGCTGAGTTCAGGGTTTGAACCCACATATCTTTTGGCTCTAAGCTTGCTAGAAGAATCGATCTTGGATTGCAGTCAGGGCAGGCATTCTATCAGGAACATGTCTCTTTATAGGAAAAAGATCTCCACAGGCTATTCATTTGCCAGCCAACTATGGTATGCTGCTGGCAGAGCCAAGCAGGGCTGTGGCAGGGGAAGAAGGCAGGACCTCTGCTCCAGAAGGGTGCAGCTATGGAGAGCAGAGAGGTCTGTCAGGTGGTCAGGAAGAACTGCAAGAAGCAACCAAGAGGAAGGGCCAGGAACCCTGGGCTGCAGGGGGTTGGGGCGACTGAGAGGAGACAGCTGCTCTGGGGTGGGTGTCTGCAGCCAGGGTTTTCAGAGGCCCTGGCTTCTGGACAAGAACAGGAGGGACTAGTCAGATCTGGACTTCAGGTCACACTGCACCCACTCCTGTCATTTCCTGCTCAAATGCAGTTTGGCCTACTCCCTGGTTGCCTGACCTAGGCAGCCCCAGGTGCAGTGCTGAGCTCGTCAGGGAGGATGGAGGGCAGAGGCCACTGTCCTGAGCAGGGGCGTTTACGGGGGGTGCTTTGAGCTCTTGGCTGACCCAGGCTGGACAGGGCAGCTGCTAGCCTGGGTGAAGGAGGCCCTCTCTCCTATTCTGCAGCCTAAGTCTCAGGGTTACAGATCAGAAGGGTGGGGGGGGGGCAGCAGTGGGGAGGAAGCTGGGGGCATGATGATTCAATGGCTTCCCAGAGAAGGACTGTGTCAAATTCCATACTCCCTCCATGCAGGCATTTTCTTTGAGAAACCTTCCCTGACCACTCCAACTCAACTCCTAGTCATGGAAGTTGACAGTCTCACTAATGTGGTGGGGGTGCTAAGTGTGTCCATGGCCTGGGTGGGAGTGGCTTCCTGTGTCTCCCATGGCCTGTGGGGGCATCTAGGCTGGCAGAGCTCAATAGCCAGGGCATGGGTGGACTAAGCCCCCTTCCTGCACCTATGGACACCCACAAGGGCTCCAACACCCTGCCCAGCCACTCACCATTCCAGTCAGCAATTCATACAGCAGAGACCCAAAGCTCCACCAGTCACAGGCTTCCGTCAGCTCAGAAATCCCACCCACCTCTGGGAACAAGAACATACAGGTCATGGCCATACCCAAGGGGGCAGGTCTCAGTTCTACTTATCTCACCCAGACTTGGCACTTTCCCCCTGTCATCCTCAACCCACCCAAGGGCACCCTGGAGATTTAGGGTCCTGGGACCTTCCCCCTTCTTGCCTGGGGCGCTATAGAGGTTGTCCAAAGCCTCTCTGCAGCACTGGGGCTCCACCTCTGACCACTGGCCAAAATATGTGAGCCGGATGTGACCTTTTCGTCCGATGTGTATAGAAAGGAGTAAGAGGACAAAAATTACAGTGAATCATCACTGAGCAGCTGGCATGGGGAAGCCAACTCCAGGGCCCCCCCAACAAACAGGATAGGAGCCAGTGGTAGTGTGGGGCAGAGCTTCCCTAGGGTATGGCCCCTGAGGCCCAGACACAACCAGGTATTCATAGGAGCTGTTGCCCTGGACTCTTGTGGGGAAAGGGGCTTCCTTCCCAAGCTCAACCTTGGCCAACTAGATTCAGCAAACTCCTGGATGCAAAGGCCTGGTGGTGGCATGGGAAGAAGCAGGCCCTTCATTTGGGGAACTCTGGTTGTCTTGAGGCCTGTGGGTAGGACAGTGTGCAGGTGGCCCACTCCTTTCTCCCCAGGCCTGGGGCACCTACCTGCCTGGTCCAGGAGCAGGTTCCTGGGGTTGAGATCCCGGCACAGCACCCCCTGCTCGTGCAGCGCCTCTAGGGCCACCAGCGTCTCTGCTGCCCACTGCTTCACCTGCTCTTCCTGCACATTCCAGGCACCCCCGCTGAGACCCAGGTTCCCGCCATCCATCGAGGGGTGGCTCTGACCTCTGCCATGGCCATAGCCCCCCAGCACCCAGGCAGCTCCCTCTTGAACCCAAGGGAGCCCCCAGGAGGGACCCATGTCCAATCTCTGGCCAGGTCCCTGCCTGGCTTGGAGGTGCTGGGGGCCACTTGGGGCCTTTGGAAGTTCTGAGGGGTAGGAAGTATGGGTCCTGGCTGGGGGTTCACCTCCAGCCTCTCTCTGGGGACTGATGTGTGGGGCCCCCCTGTTAGGGGGAAGGCTCTGAGAAATCCAGGGGGGCTTTAGGGGGATTCTGTCCTGCAGGCGGGTATGGCCCCGGGGGAGCAGCGCTGGGGCCCGGAAGCTGACAGATGCGTTGAGCGGAGCCTTCATCCTCTCCAGGCTGGAGCCAGACCTGGGCCCAGATTGTGGAGGGTGCGCCTGGGAGAGCAGGTGGGACCAGAGAGTGCCTCCTGGGCCCCAGAGAAGGAGCAGCAAGCATGGGGACAGGGGAGAAAAAGGCATGGGCGCCAGGTCCCTATCCCCACTCCAACCTGGCCTGCATCCTGGGCATGGACCCTCTGCTTCAGGTCCTCACCCCTGCTCCCTCCCTGAGCCTAGAATGCCCTTTCCCCTCCTCTTGATTCACCCAAAGAAGACCCATAACCTAGCACAAAAATAGGTGCTTAACCCCAAAGTAGTTGTAGGTTATTGGTCATGACCTGGGGGGTGAGTTCACGAGTGTTCAGTATATTCCAAGTTTTTGTTTTTAAGGGAGGATAGTGTAGTGAAATTTGAGTAAGTAAAATAAAAGAAGGCCAGGCACGGACGTGCAATGACTTTACATCATGACCCTACACCTCATTAAAAAATTCATCGCTATAATAGGTGATCAGTAGCTATCCCAGTCCTGTCCTTACAGCGTCAGTCACCACCATCTCACGTGCCACTCCAAAGGACGGGCACAGACAAGACAAATGAGAAGTCATGGCTGGAGAAATGGTGACAAAAGGGACAACTGCATACATGCCCGTCTGTCCACCCAGCCTGTGCACATCCTCCCCAGGACACCCCCTGCCCCCTTGGCCCCACACAGAGGCCAACAGCAGCCCAGCGCTGCCATTCAGCCTCCAGGAGGGCTAGGTTCTCTGTGCTGCACAGATGCAAGGCACCCTGGCCCTGGGTTTGGCGTGTGAAGGCCATGGAAGAGAAGAGCATCCCCAAGGCCCAAGGAGGGCCCTCACCTTGCACGTGCTCCAGGTGCAGGAAGATGGAGTCCTCACTCATAAAGTAGCGCAGCAGCTTGGTCATGTAGGGGACACCACGTGGGATGATGGTCTGCCGCTCCCGGCTCACTGCATGGCACCTAGACAGGCTCTGGGGATGAGACAGGGCAGCTGGGGATGGGCAGAGGCTGCTCTGCTCGAGCACATGCTGGTCCCGGCTTCTGGGGCAACCAGATGAGGGATGGGAGTCACCCTGAGGAGCAACTGCCTCCCCCGCACCCCCACCCATTCCTGACCTGGCCCTCACCCCTATTTCTACCATGGAATCCAGGTCCTCCACCTCTGGGCCAAGAAGGAGACAGTATACATGCGTCTATCTCAGAGGCAGACATGCCCGGGGCAAAGAAAGCAGCTTCTGGATTTGGAGGGAGCATGGGCTTCAGATATAGGTCTGGATAGGAGGGTTCCCAGAGGACAGAGGTTTCCAGCAGCTCTGAGAAAGTCCCAGGATATGTAGAAGGGCAGGGGCTGGGCGGCACCTGCCTTCACCACGAAGGTCCTTCCAGTTGCTGGGTCCTGGACCAGCTGCACCTGCCAAGGTCCAAAAGGCCCCAGTCAAGGCACATGCTAGTTCTGGGGTTCCACAGCCCCCAGGTTCCTCCACTGAGGCAGAATCACTCCAGGGACAGCACAGGATGGGCAGACTTTGGTGGTGCAGATACGTCCCACCCCACCCCACATTCCCACCACAAGCTGACATGGATCCTGTCCTGCTCATCACCCTTGTTAGGTCTTAGCTCAGGTGCCACCTCTTCTAGGAAGCCCTCCCAACCCTCAGGCCAGGCTGGGTCCTCTAATCTGTCTCCAGTGCTCTGTGGGATCCTAAGAGAAGCCCTGTCACACCATGGCTGACTTCCCTTCTCCCCACTGCACTGTGATCTCTGAGGGCAGGGCCCACACTGTCCAGCCCTGTATTCCAAGAGCTCTGCACACAGTATAGGAATATAGTAGGAGCCTCGCACAGGCATGGGGAGTGGTCCATCCTGTAGGGTCTATGGGCATCACCACTAGAAGGGACCTCAGAGCCAGTTACCTCCTCTGATCTCTTTTTTTTTAAATTTTTTATTAAGGTATTATTGATATACACTCTTACTCTGATCTCTTATTTTACAGATGAGCCAGCTGAGGCTCTGCAGTGTGGCCCCAGGTCACCCACAGGCCCAGCCGTACCTGGAAGCATAAGGGCTTAGCATGTTCCTTCAGGTCTCTTCCCACCTGCCCCCTGTCTCTTCTTTTAAATAGGCTTTCTTTCTGGAGGCTGTCTTTGGAGGGCAGCCCACTCCTGTGGCTTCATTAGATTGGCCCGCCTGTTTGGAGTTGTCCAAACAGTGTGGACCCCAGCCACAGGAGAGGGCATGCTGCACATGTCAGGGCAGGAAGGCGGAAGACTTGGCCCAGATAAGGGGCATGTGGGGGCAAGACCAGCACACTGGTTTGTTACCAAGTGACACTGCCTCTCTGAACCTTGTTCTTGACTACAAAATGGGGTCACAGCAGTACCTCCTGCAGGCCAGAGGAAGATCCTATTAAAGCAGGTCACTCAAGCACAGCAGCAGCCTGTGCTGGCCTCAGGATGTGTAGTGATTATTACTAATACTATTGCAGAGAAACTTCCCTTTGGCTGTCCAGTGCTCCCTCTGTGCTAAGCACTTTATATAGATTATTTAATTTTATTGCCACAGCCCTACCAGGTGAGTGTTATTAGTGATCCATCGATGAAGAAACTGAGGTTCAGAGAAGTTATGTTGCCTATCCCACTGATAAAAAGTGGTAGAGCCAGGATTTTAATCCAGGCACGCTGTTCCCAGAGCCCTGCAACACATGGCACCACCAGGTGACCTTGGCAAAACCACGTGCCGTCTCCCCAGGTTCATCTTCAGTGAAATGAAGGCAGTGGACTAGATGAGCACAGGGGCCCTCCCTGCAGCAGGAGTGAGGTGTCCCTTCTGGCCACTAGAGGTCTCTCCCTCAACAGCCAGGGACCGAACCCAGCCTGGCCCCACAAACACGGCCAAATTTGTGCACTGTTTGAAAAAGAAAGGAAGGAAACTCTGGGGTCATTTAGGAGAACAGAGTTTCCCACAAGTACTGACACCACAGATAATTCCCCTCTGTCTCTTGCCAAATGGGATTCCCTACCACCTCATCCTGGGCAAGTGGAGTCAAAACACCGGCAGAGAAGTTTGGGGAAGCCAGAAATAAAATTAATCGGTACATTAAAACAAGTGTGTTCAAACATTTATATATAAAACCTGCCTATCTAGAAAAAGACCAAAACAGTAACAGTAATTATCTTGGAATTAGGTAGGATGCTGGAGAAAAAAAAGAATATATCTTTCTCAAAAGGGAGCATTTTCCCATTAAACCAAGGAAACAATATATCCTCTTATTTTTTGCTCAGTGCTATGGGGGACAGAGCCTTAGCTAGTCACTTGAGTTCTGTGAACCTCAGTTTCATTCTCTGTTAAGACAATTACTGAAATACAGTTCTGCCCAACAGAGCTTTCTGCCATAAAGGAAATATTATATATTTGCGCTGTCCAATAGGGAAGCCATCAGCCATATGGGGCTTATTGAGCCCTTGAAATATGGCTGGTGCAACTGAGAAACACAATACTTGATTTTAATTTAAATTGTCTTTCGTGGCTCACAACTACTTTATCAGACTGCACAGTGTAAAGCTTTTTTCCCCAGGGTGGCTGAGGGGGATTAATGCAACAGCCTGGCAAACAAGAACATGTCTAATGTCAAGTGCATATTGCTGGTGGGCAGATGGTAGCCAGTTCAGGGTACCTGCCTTCAATCTTTTAAAACAGGAAAACCTTTTTTTTAAAAAAAAGAAACCCACTGAGTTCTGGAATCTGGGGACAGTCATAGCTTTGGTGAAACACATTAGCCCTTTCTTTAAAAAACTCCAAAGTATCAAAATCTCAGGAGGAATTGCCAGGTTCTCAAACTCCAAGGCCCACAGGGGCTGGGCATGTGAGGCCCATGCACAGGGCAGGGACAGGGGCAAACTGGAAGGCTGGTGCCCCATTAAAGGCCCCTCCTCCACTCCTTGCCGCTCCACGGAGCTGTAAGCCAACAGGTCCAGACCTTCGCATTTTTCAGGAGAAGCAGGAAAGCAGGCTTCCACATGAAGTCATATAGAAACCTGACAATTGTTAAATGTTGATAACTAAAAAAACAAACAAACAAACCACTCCTGTGTTCAAGCCAAAAAACAGTAAGTGACTTGGATGGCTTTTTCTTCCCCATCCCTGACTCAGAGCCTGGCCCCTGGACAAGGCTCAGCAAATATGTAGTGGTATCTCCCAGGCCTTCCATGCTCCCTAAGAGCAGGCCCCTGGGTATTCTGGCCAGCTGCCTACCTGGTTCCTGACCCATTCACCTCACTGTCCCCAGCCAACCCCTACTGATGCCAGTATCTCTTAAGATGCCAGTACTGCCCCCAGCCAGGTAAACCCTAGCAACCAGGCATCCTTTGGGATGCTGAAGGTTTCCTGAGCGAGTCCCTGGCTCCTCCCTGGTTCTGCAGGCTGCTGCTGGCCCGCTTCGCCCTCCTGTCCAGATCTGCCTGGGCAGAGTTGTGGAATGGAACAGACAGCACAGCCAGGCCTGGCTGCAGGGACCTGGGCCCAGAGGCCCCAACACCTCTCCTAATTTGGGGAAATTGGTGTTCCCCAATTTGGAAATGACACAGGCAAAGGAAGGAGGATATCAGGAGGTGTGGGGGGGGCGGGCAGGTAAATTGAGTGCTCAAGGAAAGAGGGAAGAAGGAAAGCACGGCAATCTCAGAAGAGAGTGATTGGGTTTGGCTTTATTTAACTTGTGTTTTCCATAAGCACTGGCCTCAGAATAGCAGATTCTGAAAATGCTTTGCATATGCATGTCCTGGGGTTAAACAAATTCAGGGAATTCTGTCTTGGAAACTCTAGGTGAACATTTGCATACTAACAGCTCTGGAAACTATCATTTAAAAAACAAAGTAATGTAACAATACAGTTTCCCAAATTTGTGTGACCCAGAACCCCTCTATCCACAACACCTGTGGTTCAGTGGGATCTCACGCAGGGAAATGGTGGTGGCAGTCACCTCCCCCGGCGGTCTGTGGGAGTGGCTGTGCTCGGCTGACACTGTACCGGCTAGTGCAGGGGGAGGGAAGACTGCTGGAAGCGGGCTGGGCCTCGGCTAACAGAGGGGGCCTGTGCCAGGGGCCTGGGAGAAGCAGCTGAGCAAAGCTGGGGGGCCGGACGCCTGCACACCTCCAGCGCACTCCTGTCACTGGCATTAGAGCCATCAAACATGTATCAAATTTTAGTGTGTGCCAAGCCTTTCCCAAAAATTATTTCATTTTATTTCCCACACACATACCCCTCTGGGGCTGGTGGGGGGAGATTCTTACCCACTTACAGCTGCAGATGAGGAGACCTACCCCGAAGGGGCGAAGGGCTACGAGGGCCACATGGTGCAATGCCTGGACAGCCCTTCACCCTCTGGTGAGCAGGGAAGCCCACCCTGGCCTCCTTCCCTCTCTGGGCTCCCAGCCCCATCAAAGTCCCCCCATGAGTGTTTTAAGTACAGATTCCTGGCTCAGACCAAGAAGCTCTGACTCTACAGATCTGGGGTGGAGCCCGGCATCTGTATTTTTAGGAAGCTCCCCAGGTGACTCTGATAAACAGCCAATTTGAGAAAGAACACCTTTAGCAACAAATCAGCCACCCCTGGAATGGGACGGGGAACAATCAAATATTGGCTCAAACCTCATCTGACCCAGCCATTCATCCTTCTGACTCCCTCCCTTTCATGGGTGTCCCAAGTAGGGGTTCCTGTCTGCCCTGAATTAAGGGAAAGGGCCCCAGATGGGGCTGAGATGAGGTGGGGTGGGGGAGAGAAAGGTACAGTTGCCCAAGTCCTGGATGACGCTGCGGCCAGCGGGGACCGTCTGCAGGACAGGTTTCTGCAGATGAGCATGCCCCCCACAGGAACTTCTCTCTGGGCTTGGTGGGGAGACTCTGGGCCCCAGCTCGGGGATACAGGGAGAGCAGGGTGGGGCCTGTGGGAAGCTGGCAGTGGGTATGAGCAGGGCAGTGTGCACGACATGGTGCCCAGCACAGTGCTGTGGCACAGCGTCTCCTGTGGCCTTTGTCTTCAATCTTGGAGGGCGTGGTTTTCTATCTGAGCTGGAGGGCAGTGGAGGGGGGTTGTCTGCCTCTTTTGTTTGTTTTCCTTTCCAGGACTGACTGGTCTGTGCTGGGATGGGGAACCAACTGGACACAGCTGTGCCCTCCCCTTGGACCCTCTGCCCTATCTCCAGCCCCCTCTGGGGGAGAAGCAGCAGCTGCTCTCTCCCCCCACCCACCACTTCCAATCGTATACGTCATTTCCCCGCACATCATGGGCATTTGCTCACTCACCTTCCCAATGACCCCAACCACTCTGCAGCCCCTCAGCTGCTCCAGGGCAGAGCTCAGTGTCCGGATGGGCCGGAGCCTCAGGCTGCTGAAACCCTGTGGAGGTAGAAGACAGGCCGTGCAGGCTCAGGGCCCAGCCCCCCAGCCACTGCCTTGTCACCCAGCAGCAGGCAGGCCACAGCCAGCAGGACTGTGGTACAGCGGCCCCTACCTCCCAGGGACACGATGGGTGGAGAAGCTGGCCCTGGCTGGCAGAGCCCACACTGATCCTGGGAGCCATGCTGTCCTCCCTCAGCACCACCCCCCCGACTTCCAACAAGGCCCAGGAATTCTTGGGGCTTCAGAAACCCCCTCTCAAAAGCCCCATCCACAGTAGACAGATGATCTAGGGGTGGGGAAATAATCTGGGAACAGGGAACATGCCTGGAAGACCAAGGCATGCAGCCCAGTGAGCTGCTTTGGGGAAAAGCAACTTTCTAAGACGCCGTGAGCCCCGGAGGGGGCCGTGTGTGTCTGTGCATGTCTGTGGGCAGAAGTCTGTGTGCATTTTCAGCCCTTTCTGAGTGTCCACTGGGTTAGGAAAAGCTGTATGGGGACAGTATTGTGCACATTCGTGTCTGCACACATTCATGTGCAAATGTGTACATGAGCGGGTATTCACGTCTGCTCCAAGTACACACTGCAACCCATTCAAATGCAAACATATCTGAGAGATTGCCTGTGTACACACATGAGCATGGGTACAAACCGTGTGGAAGGGTGGGGAGATGTGCATGAACTCTGTGTAGGGAGGGTGTGGTACTGGACCAGAGAGGATGCACTAAGTGTGTGAAAATAAATGAACTATGGCGGGTGAGGGAGAGAGAAGCCAGAAGGCAGACAGGTCTGGCCCCACCACCCCCGTTCTGCCGGAGGTCCAGGCTGTAAGGTGCCAACCCGCGGACCTGTGGGGAGGTGACTCCTCACCACAGCAGGGCTGCCTCCACTGCCCGGCGTCCTTTGCAGGTGGCAATTGAAGATCTCCTCTGCCCGCTGCAGATACTTGGCAATTTTCAGCTTTACTGCCTCACACCGCTCCTTGTTGGGGTCGACTATGGGGAGAAAGGGTCACCAGGGCCCACCCCGGCCTTGGAGGGCTGGGGTTCCAGCTCCCACTGCCTGCCTCTGCCCTCTGCAGAAGAGTGCTCAGGTCTGAGGCTGCCCAGAAGATCCTGCCCCCAAACCTGTTTTGGAGCCCCCCTCCAGATGGGGGACCAGGTTGGAAGAAGGTCCCCTCAGGGTGGAAGAAGGAAGGTGGAGGAGAGGCTGGGAACCATGGTCCCCCCTCAGCCTGCAGCTTTACTGTTGGCACCCACCACCTCACTGGCTGCCATCAGACCCTGGAAGGGACAGAGCGGGGATTTCCACGTCCATTTTTGGAGGATGAGGCAGAAGCTCCCAGAGAGCGTGCATTCTTCCATCTCTGCTGCCCAGCGTGAAGAAGGCCAAAATGGGGACCAGGGTTGGAGGATGAAGGAATTCACCGGATAGGCTCGTAGCCCAGGTGTTGAGGACCTCATCCGCAGAAGGGATAGAAAGCCGGTGAGTCAAGGCCCAACCCCCACCCTCAGGGGTCTCAAACTGGCCTCAGGAACAGCCTCCCCCACGGCTGGGAAATGTCTCACTTTGCCCTGCAAGGGCCACCCCTCTCACCTCTGGGCCTCAGCTGTTTCTCTCTGGAGCACCACCCAGCCCTTCAGCTGGACAATGCACCTACCATCCTTCAGTGCTCAGATTAGAGTTCTGACTTCTAGAAAATACCCTGTGCCACTGAGCCTGGCCTCAGTTTCCCCTTCCCTCCCTTCACTTCCTCCTTGTTGCTCTTCTCACCTGGGGCTTAATTGTCCATCATCAACTCATCAGTCTTTCCCCACTACAACAAGCAAGCCCCTAGAAGGCAGGAACCCAGCCCAGCTCTGAGGAGTAGTGGGTGGTGGGCAGAGTGGGGAGGGGGCAGGCAAGCACAGTGGGTCAAGCGTACAGCCTCTGGAGCCAAAACTATTCAAACCCCAGCTTTGCCACTGTGGAACCTTATGCAAGCTATTTAACTGTCCTGTGCCTCAGTTTCCTTATCTGGAAAATAGGAATAAAAATAATTCCCATATACTTGGAACTACATGCAACAATATATATAGTAATTTCTATTACTATGAGTCTCAAATGAGTTAATATAGGTAAATCCCTTAGACCAGTGTCTGGTGCATAGGAACTTTAATGAATGCTAACAGTTATTACTGTCCTTCACAGAAGCCCTGCAGGGCCAGCATAGAGCCCTGTTTACCCAACACACATGGACAGAAGGTAGGACAAGCTTTGAGCCGGCCAGTCCCTAGAGGCCCGTGGCCCTGCCCCGTCCAGCCCTTACCGTGCATGCCTCGCAGCAAAACGTCCACACCGTTCTGGTAGTGGTTGAAGGCTGCCTCGTAGTCCTCACTGACATCGCGTTCCAGAGCCAGGTGTATCTGCGTGGCTGCATCCACCAGGTAGTCGTGCTTGGTCATGTCAGGTGCCCCTGGAGCCACCCGGTTGCGAATCTGCTCCAGGTACACGCGGGCCTGGGACCGTGCTCGTGAGCAAGGCTCAGGCTCGAGTCCAGGGCCAGGTGGACACTCACAGGCTACCAGGCTCATGGCTGCTGCCCTGTGGCTGCAACCCGGAAAAAACAGATGCATTAGGGAGGACCCAGCTGGGAACAGCACCCCATCTACACCCTGGTTTCCTCCACCGAACACTGGAGACGAATGCTCACTTCTAAAGGCTCTAGGGATCCTAGCTAAAGTGGTACTGTCCCTTCCAGAGCCAGCTCTTTCCGTGATGGGGGTAGTAACAGAATAACAATATGCTTGGGGTGCTTCCTTTCAATTCAAATCCAGTTCAACAAGTACTTCCTGAGTACCTACTATGTGTGAGCACTGGAGAGAGCCGAGGATATTTGTAATACAGAGCAGCCTTCGCAGGACCTCCACAGAGTAAACTGGGGTCTACTACAGTAATTCTGTGGAGGCCAAGCACTCTGGGGCCCAGGCAAGGGCCCTAGGCTCAAAGGCCAATCCTCACACTGTCCCTCCATTCTGCCTGTTCCTCTCCCTGCTCCTCCTATGGGAATCTCATTTATCCTTCAGGGTTCAGCTCAATGGCACCTCTTGAAACAGGATGGATTGCTACTGCTTTATTTCACTTCCCTTGGTGCTGAGGTCTCTTTGGTTAGGGACTAAGGACCCCCCACAAAGCCCAGCAGAAAGCTGGGCACAAGGCCAGGTCTTAAAGTCTGTGAGCAAATGAAATGACTGGTAGATTCCAGACGGAGTTCAAGGAAGGGACGGCTTCTTCGGCCCAGCTCTGGGAAGGGGATGGCTCTGTCCTCTGAGAAGGCCAGGAGGCCTCCGAGGGCCAGACAAGAGCCCCTCCCTGAGAAGTGTATGACACAAGTGGTCAAAGGGATAAGAGCACTGGCTGCGAGAAGGGATAGGGCTCAGAGAGAAGCCAGCAGAGCTGCGTCCGTCCCTCCGGCACCTTTGCTCTCAGGACCCATTGGGAAGAGGGGCAGGGCCCGAACTCTCAACCCTGGGCCATTTTGCCTCTGTGGAGAGACCGAAGAGAGAATAGGGTGGGTAGTGGGACGGGGAGGGAAACCCCTAGCTCCAGGACAGTGGGGAGCGCCCCCTGGCCTGGCGGCGGCAGCGGTGGAGAAAGGGAGGGAGGGAAGCCGCACCCTCCGTGCTCCGCCTAGCCTCCAGGGACCTGCAGCTCTGAAGGCCTGTGTTGCAGCGCCAAGGACGACCAGCCTGCGCGGCTCGATAGGCCCCGGCTTCAGGACCCAGAGAGCGGCGCGTCAGGCCCGTGAGACCGCGGCAAGAAAAGTGCACCGCCCCGCGGAGGAAGGCGCGCTGGGGGAGTGAAAGGAGAGGGATCCTGCCCTGGCCAGAGGAGCATGGAGGAGGGGCCGAACAAACACCATACCTACCTGAGCCAAGAACTCGGTCCGCGTCCAGACCTACCCGTGCCGCCACCTCCCCTTCATCCCCGCGGGCGCCGGTGCACCGCGGAGCTGGGGCCTTGCACCCTCAGCAAGATGCAGGGGTATGGCCGTGTGCAGCCCGGCTATTGGCTGCGGATGAGCTCATTCTCTAGCGTTAGAATAAACCACCAATCAGCCCCCAACTCGGCTTCTCCCGGCGCTTAAAGTCGCCGCGTCGGAGGTGCGGAGCGCGGTGGAGGGGAGTTGCGGAGTCGGGGTGGTAGGAGAATGCTGCGAGAGGGGAGGAGGGCCGTAATCACACAGGAATGCAGGGGGAGCTGATTCAGAAATCTAGGCTGATTGAAAAACACACGAGCCACATCCAGAACTTTTCTCATTTCATTCATTTATTCAACTATTAAGTAACTATGAATTGAAAGAGCACTATGCCGGAGGAGCTAGATGCTGAGTTACAACAATGGAGTAGACAGTCTCTGCTCCCATCTTCAGGGGGTTTACAGTCTAACGAGGGCCGCGGGGGTTAAAGAACTAAAGAATACAGTTGGGATCAGTTTTGTGAGAGGGAAGCACCACAGGGGCAATGGATTTATAACATGTGGAATGACCTGGCCTGGGGCTCAAAAGGCTTTCTGGAGGGAGTGATATCCCAGCTGTGCACACACCCTCATCTGCGCCGTAATGCTGCCTGGACTCACACATCCTTCCCTAGTGTACTTGCTCTCCCCTAGGAATCTTTTCATACCAGTACGTATCCCGACTCCCATTCCGTCTTCCCCATCCTCACTGTCACCCAGACATGTGCTTTCTCCTTCCCTGGAAAACATGAGTGGTCTGAATTCTACCCTGCCCACCAACCCTGCTCTGGCCAGGTCTGTACCCACACACTGCCTCCCCACCTCTTTCCATAGATGACTTGACTGTGCCCCATCAAAAAGTCAACCTTCCACTGGGGATCAATCCTGTCCTTTCACCTACTCAAGGACACTGCTCCGGCAATTCTTGCCTCGCTCTCCTACAACAATTTTTGGCTCCCACTAGACCATCCCCATCTGATACAAATATAATGCTGACTACCCGATCTGAAAGCAAAACAAGAAAACAAAACAAAACGAAAAATGCTCATGGCCTCACTGCTGGCTCCGCCACCCTAGGTTTGCAACAAAACTCAAAAGAGATACTTGCTGTCTGTACTTGCTGTCTCGGTTGCTCTTCTGGGCTTTCTTGAACTCCCTCTGGTGAGGCTTTCTTCCTCAACATTCCTCTGAAATTGCTCTTGGTCCAACCAGTGACCTCCGGATTGCTAAACCCAATGGTTGTGTTTGGTCCTAGTTTTACTTGGCCTCTCAGGAGCATCTGACCCAGGTGATCACAGCCTGCTTTCCGTGCACTTTCTCCCCGGGCTTCTGGGACCCATACTCTCTTGGTTGCCTTCTGTCCCACTGACCCCTTCTTCTCAGTGTCCTCGGATGGCTCTTACCCTCCTCTTCAACTTCTGAATGTTAGAGTCCCAAGGTTCAGACCTTGACATCTTCCCTGTAGCCTTACTCTCTTGGTAAGGTATTGCACCTAGTCTCATGATTTTAAGTAGTATTCTTCCATATACTGATGATTCTGTGTGTCTACTTACAGATATATCATCCGTATCTCTTAGCCCTCCCCTCTCTACCAAACTTAAATATTTAATAGTGTAATAAAGCACCTCAAATTCATCAAGTCCAGGACTAAACTCTTAAAGTGCAGCTTACATAATTGGAGAAGATATTTGCAAATCATCTATCTGATAAGGGCCTAGTATCCAGAATATATAAACAACTCTTACAATTCAACAATAAAAAGACAAATGATCCAATTAAAAATGGGCAAAGGATTTGAGCAGACATTGCTCCAAAGATGGCCAGTAAGCACTTGAGAAGATGCTCAACACCATTAGTTACTAAGGGAATGCAAATTTAAACCACACTGAGATACCACTTCACACCTACTATGATGGCTATAATAAAAAATCTAGGCAATAACAAGTGTTGAGATCTGGAGAAAATGGAACCTTCCTACAGTGCTGTCAGAATGTATGGTGCAGCTGCTTTGGAAAGCAACTTGAAAGTTCCTCAAAAAGTTATGAGAATGAAGTGCTTATATGTGCTATAACATGAGTGAACCTTGAAAATGTTATGCTAAGTGAAAGAAATCAAACAAAAAAGGCGACNTGTAAAGCTTTTTTCCCCAGGGTGGCTGAGGGGGATTAATGCAACAGCCTGGCAAACAAGAACATGTCTAATGTCAAGTGCATATTGCTGGTGGGCAGATGGTAGCCAGTTCAGGGTACCTGCCTTCAATCTTTTAAAACAGGAAAACCTTTTTTTTAAAAAAAAGAAACCCACTGAGTTCTGGAATCTGGGGACAGTCATAGCTTTGGTGAAACACATTAGCCCTTTCTTTAAAAAACTCCAAAGTATCAAAATCTCAGGAGGAATTGCCAGGTTCTCAAACTCCAAGGCCCACAGGGGCTGGGCATGTGAGGCCCATGCACAGGGCAGGGACAGGGGCAAACTGGAAGGCTGGTGCCCCATTAAAGGCCCCTCCTCCACTCCTTGCCGCTCCACGGAGCTGTAAGCCAACAGGTCCAGACCTTCGCATTTTTCAGGAGAAGCAGGAAAGCAGGCTTCCACATGAAGTCATATAGAAACCTGACAATTGTTAAATGTTGATAACTAAAAAAACAAACAAACAAACCACTCCTGTGTTCAAGCCAAAAAACAGTAAGTGACTTGGATGGCTTTTTCTTCCCCATCCCTGACTCAGAGCCTGGCCCCTGGACAAGGCTCAGCAAATATGTAGTGGTATCTCCCAGGCCTTCCATGCTCCCTAAGAGCAGGCCCCTGGGTATTCTGGCCAGCTGCCTACCTGGTTCCTGACCCATTCACCTCACTGTCCCCAGCCAACCCCTACTGATGCCAGTATCTCTTAAGATGCCAGTACTGCCCCCAGCCAGGTAAACCCTAGCAACCAGGCATCCTTTGGGATGCTGAAGGTTTCCTGAGCGAGTCCCTGGCTCCTCCCTGGTTCTGCAGGCTGCTGCTGGCCCGCTTCGCCCTCCTGTCCAGATCTGCCTGGGCAGAGTTGTGGAATGGAACAGACAGCACAGCCAGGCCTGGCTGCAGGGACCTGGGCCCAGAGGCCCCAACACCTCTCCTAATTTGGGGAAATTGGTGTTCCCCAATTTGGAAATGACACAGGCAAAGGAAGGAGGATATCAGGAGGTGTGGGGGGGGCGGGCAGGTAAATTGAGTGCTCAAGGAAAGAGGGAAGAAGGAAAGCACGGCAATCTCAGAAGAGAGTGATTGGGTTTGGCTTTATTTAACTTGTGTTTTCCATAAGCACTGGCCTCAGAATAGCAGATTCTGAAAATGCTTTGCATATGCATGTCCTGGGGTTAAACAAATTCAGGGAATTCTGTCTTGGAAACTCTAGGTGAACATTTGCATACTAACAGCTCTGGAAACTATCATTTAAAAAACAAAGTAATGTAACAATACAGTTTCCCAAATTTGTGTGACCCAGAACCCCTCTATCCACAACACCTGTGGTTCAGTGGGATCTCACGCAGGGAAATGGTGGTGGCAGTCACCTCCCCCGGCGGTCTGTGGGAGTGGCTGTGCTCGGCTGACACTGTACCGGCTAGTGCAGGGGGAGGGAAGACTGCTGGAAGCGGGCTGGGCCTCGGCTAACAGAGGGGGCCTGTGCCAGGGGCCTGGGAGAAGCAGCTGAGCAAAGCTGGGGGGCCGGACGCCTGCACACCTCCAGCGCACTCCTGTCACTGGCATTAGAGCCATCAAACATGTATCAAATTTTAGTGTGTGCCAAGCCTTTCCCAAAAATTATTTCATTTTATTTCCCACACACATACCCCTCTGGGGCTGGTGGGGGGAGATTCTTACCCACTTACAGCTGCAGATGAGGAGACCTACCCCGAAGGGGCGAAGGGCTACGAGGGCCACATGGTGCAATGCCTGGACAGCCCTTCACCCTCTGGTGAGCAGGGAAGCCCACCCTGGCCTCCTTCCCTCTCTGGGCTCCCAGCCCCATCAAAGTCCCCCCATGAGTGTTTTAAGTACAGATTCCTGGCTCAGACCAAGAAGCTCTGACTCTACAGATCTGGGGTGGAGCCCGGCATCTGTATTTTTAGGAAGCTCCCCAGGTGACTCTGATAAACAGCCAATTTGAGAAAGAACACCTTTAGCAACAAATCAGCCACCCCTGGAATGGGACGGGGAACAATCAAATATTGGCTCAAACCTCATCTGACCCAGCCATTCATCCTTCTGACTCCCTCCCTTTCATGGGTGTCCCAAGTAGGGGTTCCTGTCTGCCCTGAATTAAGGGAAAGGGCCCCAGATGGGGCTGAGATGAGGTGGGGTGGGGGAGAGAAAGGTACAGTTGCCCAAGTCCTGGATGACGCTGCGGCCAGCGGGGACCGTCTGCAGGACAGGTTTCTGCAGATGAGCATGCCCCCCACAGGAACTTCTCTCTGGGCTTGGTGGGGAGACTCTGGGCCCCAGCTCGGGGATACAGGGAGAGCAGGGTGGGGCCTGTGGGAAGCTGGCAGTGGGTATGAGCAGGGCAGTGTGCACGACATGGTGCCCAGCACAGTGCTGTGGCACAGCGTCTCCTGTGGCCTTTGTCTTCAATCTTGGAGGGCGTGGTTTTCTATCTGAGCTGGAGGGCAGTGGAGGGGGGTTGTCTGCCTCTTTTGTTTGTTTTCCTTTCCAGGACTGACTGGTCTGTGCTGGGATGGGGAACCAACTGGACACAGCTGTGCCCTCCCCTTGGACCCTCTGCCCTATCTCCAGCCCCCTCTGGGGGAGAAGCAGCAGCTGCTCTCTCCCCCCACCCACCACTTCCAATCGTATACGTCATTTCCCCGCACATCATGGGCATTTGCTCACTCACCTTCCCAATGACCCCAACCACTCTGCAGCCCCTCAGCTGCTCCAGGGCAGAGCTCAGTGTCCGGATGGGCCGGAGCCTCAGGCTGCTGAAACCCTGTGGAGGTAGAAGACAGGCCGTGCAGGCTCAGGGCCCAGCCCCCCAGCCACTGCCTTGTCACCCAGCAGCAGGCAGGCCACAGCCAGCAGGACTGTGGTACAGCGGCCCCTACCTCCCAGGGACACGATGGGTGGAGAAGCTGGCCCTGGCTGGCAGAGCCCACACTGATCCTGGGAGCCATGCTGTCCTCCCTCAGCACCACCCCCCCGACTTCCAACAAGGCCCAGGAATTCTTGGGGCTTCAGAAACCCCCTCTCAAAAGCCCCATCCACAGTAGACAGATGATCTAGGGGTGGGGAAATAATCTGGGAACAGGGAACATGCCTGGAAGACCAAGGCATGCAGCCCAGTGAGCTGCTTTGGGGAAAAGCAACTTTCTAAGACGCCGTGAGCCCCGGAGGGGGCCGTGTGTGTCTGTGCATGTCTGTGGGCAGAAGTCTGTGTGCATTTTCAGCCCTTTCTGAGTGTCCACTGGGTTAGGAAAAGCTGTATGGGGACAGTATTGTGCACATTCGTGTCTGCACACATTCATGTGCAAATGTGTACATGAGCGGGTATTCACGTCTGCTCCAAGTACACACTGCAACCCATTCAAATGCAAACATATCTGAGAGATTGCCTGTGTACACACATGAGCATGGGTACAAACCGTGTGGAAGGGTGGGGAGATGTGCATGAACTCTGTGTAGGGAGGGTGTGGTACTGGACCAGAGAGGATGCACTAAGTGTGTGAAAATAAATGAACTATGGCGGGTGAGGGAGAGAGAAGCCAGAAGGCAGACAGGTCTGGCCCCACCACCCCCGTTCTGCCGGAGGTCCAGGCTGTAAGGTGCCAACCCGCGGACCTGTGGGGAGGTGACTCCTCACCACAGCAGGGCTGCCTCCACTGCCCGGCGTCCTTTGCAGGTGGCAATTGAAGATCTCCTCTGCCCGCTGCAGATACTTGGCAATTTTCAGCTTTACTGCCTCACACCGCTCCTTGTTGGGGTCGACTATGGGGAGAAAGGGTCACCAGGGCCCACCCCGGCCTTGGAGGGCTGGGGTTCCAGCTCCCACTGCCTGCCTCTGCCCTCTGCAGAAGAGTGCTCAGGTCTGAGGCTGCCCAGAAGATCCTGCCCCCAAACCTGTTTTGGAGCCCCCCTCCAGATGGGGGACCAGGTTGGAAGAAGGTCCCCTCAGGGTGGAAGAAGGAAGGTGGAGGAGAGGCTGGGAACCATGGTCCCCCCTCAGCCTGCAGCTTTACTGTTGGCACCCACCACCTCACTGGCTGCCATCAGACCCTGGAAGGGACAGAGCGGGGATTTCCACGTCCATTTTTGGAGGATGAGGCAGAAGCTCCCAGAGAGCGTGCATTCTTCCATCTCTGCTGCCCAGCGTGAAGAAGGCCAAAATGGGGACCAGGGTTGGAGGATGAAGGAATTCACCGGATAGGCTCGTAGCCCAGGTGTTGAGGACCTCATCCGCAGAAGGGATAGAAAGCCGGTGAGTCAAGGCCCAACCCCCACCCTCAGGGGTCTCAAACTGGCCTCAGGAACAGCCTCCCCCACGGCTGGGAAATGTCTCACTTTGCCCTGCAAGGGCCACCCCTCTCACCTCTGGGCCTCAGCTGTTTCTCTCTGGAGCACCACCCAGCCCTTCAGCTGGACAATGCACCTACCATCCTTCAGTGCTCAGATTAGAGTTCTGACTTCTAGAAAATACCCTGTGCCACTGAGCCTGGCCTCAGTTTCCCCTTCCCTCCCTTCACTTCCTCCTTGTTGCTCTTCTCACCTGGGGCTTAATTGTCCATCATCAACTCATCAGTCTTTCCCCACTACAACAAGCAAGCCCCTAGAAGGCAGGAACCCAGCCCAGCTCTGAGGAGTAGTGGGTGGTGGGCAGAGTGGGGAGGGGGCAGGCAAGCACAGTGGGTCAAGCGTACAGCCTCTGGAGCCAAAACTATTCAAACCCCAGCTTTGCCACTGTGGAACCTTATGCAAGCTATTTAACTGTCCTGTGCCTCAGTTTCCTTATCTGGAAAATAGGAATAAAAATAATTCCCATATACTTGGAACTACATGCAACAATATATATAGTAATTTCTATTACTATGAGTCTCAAATGAGTTAATATAGGTAAATCCCTTAGACCAGTGTCTGGTGCATAGGAACTTTAATGAATGCTAACAGTTATTACTGTCCTTCACAGAAGCCCTGCAGGGCCAGCATAGAGCCCTGTTTACCCAACACACATGGACAGAAGGTAGGACAAGCTTTGAGCCGGCCAGTCCCTAGAGGCCCGTGGCCCTGCCCCGTCCAGCCCTTACCGTGCATGCCTCGCAGCAAAACGTCCACACCGTTCTGGTAGTGGTTGAAGGCTGCCTCGTAGTCCTCACTGACATCGCGTTCCAGAGCCAGGTGTATCTGCGTGGCTGCATCCACCAGGTAGTCGTGCTTGGTCATGTCAGGTGCCCCTGGAGCCACCCGGTTGCGAATCTGCTCCAGGTACACGCGGGCCTGGGACCGTGCTCGTGAGCAAGGCTCAGGCTCGAGTCCAGGGCCAGGTGGACACTCACAGGCTACCAGGCTCATGGCTGCTGCCCTGTGGCTGCAACCCGGAAAAAACAGATGCATTAGGGAGGACCCAGCTGGGAACAGCACCCCATCTACACCCTGGTTTCCTCCACCGAACACTGGAGACGAATGCTCACTTCTAAAGGCTCTAGGGATCCTAGCTAAAGTGGTACTGTCCCTTCCAGAGCCAGCTCTTTCCGTGATGGGGGTAGTAACAGAATAACAATATGCTTGGGGTGCTTCCTTTCAATTCAAATCCAGTTCAACAAGTACTTCCTGAGTACCTACTATGTGTGAGCACTGGAGAGAGCCGAGGATATTTGTAATACAGAGCAGCCTTCGCAGGACCTCCACAGAGTAAACTGGGGTCTACTACAGTAATTCTGTGGAGGCCAAGCACTCTGGGGCCCAGGCAAGGGCCCTAGGCTCAAAGGCCAATCCTCACACTGTCCCTCCATTCTGCCTGTTCCTCTCCCTGCTCCTCCTATGGGAATCTCATTTATCCTTCAGGGTTCAGCTCAATGGCACCTCTTGAAACAGGATGGATTGCTACTGCTTTATTTCACTTCCCTTGGTGCTGAGGTCTCTTTGGTTAGGGACTAAGGACCCCCCACAAAGCCCAGCAGAAAGCTGGGCACAAGGCCAGGTCTTAAAGTCTGTGAGCAAATGAAATGACTGGTAGATTCCAGACGGAGTTCAAGGAAGGGACGGCTTCTTCGGCCCAGCTCTGGGAAGGGGATGGCTCTGTCCTCTGAGAAGGCCAGGAGGCCTCCGAGGGCCAGACAAGAGCCCCTCCCTGAGAAGTGTATGACACAAGTGGTCAAAGGGATAAGAGCACTGGCTGCGAGAAGGGATAGGGCTCAGAGAGAAGCCAGCAGAGCTGCGTCCGTCCCTCCGGCACCTTTGCTCTCAGGACCCATTGGGAAGAGGGGCAGGGCCCGAACTCTCAACCCTGGGCCATTTTGCCTCTGTGGAGAGACCGAAGAGAGAATAGGGTGGGTAGTGGGACGGGGAGGGAAACCCCTAGCTCCAGGACAGTGGGGAGCGCCCCCTGGCCTGGCGGCGGCAGCGGTGGAGAAAGGGAGGGAGGGAAGCCGCACCCTCCGTGCTCCGCCTAGCCTCCAGGGACCTGCAGCTCTGAAGGCCTGTGTTGCAGCGCCAAGGACGACCAGCCTGCGCGGCTCGATAGGCCCCGGCTTCAGGACCCAGAGAGCGGCGCGTCAGGCCCGTGAGACCGCGGCAAGAAAAGTGCACCGCCCCGCGGAGGAAGGCGCGCTGGGGGAGTGAAAGGAGAGGGATCCTGCCCTGGCCAGAGGAGCATGGAGGAGGGGCCGAACAAACACCATACCTACCTGAGCCAAGAACTCGGTCCGCGTCCAGACCTACCCGTGCCGCCACCTCCCCTTCATCCCCGCGGGCGCCGGTGCACCGCGGAGCTGGGGCCTTGCACCCTCAGCAAGATGCAGGGGTATGGCCGTGTGCAGCCCGGCTATTGGCTGCGGATGAGCTCATTCTCTAGCGTTAGAATAAACCACCAATCAGCCCCCAACTCGGCTTCTCCCGGCGCTTAAAGTCGCCGCGTCGGAGGTGCGGAGCGCGGTGGAGGGGAGTTGCGGAGTCGGGGTGGTAGGAGAATGCTGCGAGAGGGGAGGAGGGCCGTAATCACACAGGAATGCAGGGGGAGCTGATTCAGAAATCTAGGCTGATTGAAAAACACACGAGCCACATCCAGAACTTTTCTCATTTCATTCATTTATTCAACTATTAAGTAACTATGAATTGAAAGAGCACTATGCCGGAGGAGCTAGATGCTGAGTTACAACAATGGAGTAGACAGTCTCTGCTCCCATCTTCAGGGGGTTTACAGTCTAACGAGGGCCGCGGGGGTTAAAGAACTAAAGAATACAGTTGGGATCAGTTTTGTGAGAGGGAAGCACCACAGGGGCAATGGATTTATAACATGTGGAATGACCTGGCCTGGGGCTCAAAAGGCTTTCTGGAGGGAGTGATATCCCAGCTGTGCACACACCCTCATCTGCGCCGTAATGCTGCCTGGACTCACACATCCTTCCCTAGTGTACTTGCTCTCCCCTAGGAATCTTTTCATACCAGTACGTATCCCGACTCCCATTCCGTCTTCCCCATCCTCACTGTCACCCAGACATGTGCTTTCTCCTTCCCTGGAAAACATGAGTGGTCTGAATTCTACCCTGCCCACCAACCCTGCTCTGGCCAGGTCTGTACCCACACACTGCCTCCCCACCTCTTTCCATAGATGACTTGACTGTGCCCCATCAAAAAGTCAACCTTCCACTGGGGATCAATCCTGTCCTTTCACCTACTCAAGGACACTGCTCCGGCAATTCTTGCCTCGCTCTCCTACAACAATTTTTGGCTCCCACTAGACCATCCCCATCTGATACAAATATAATGCTGACTACCCGATCTGAAAGCAAAACAAGAAAACAAAACAAAACGAAAAATGCTCATGGCCTCACTGCTGGCTCCGCCACCCTAGGTTTGCAACAAAACTCAAAAGAGATACTTGCTGTCTGTACTTGCTGTCTCGGTTGCTCTTCTGGGCTTTCTTGAACTCCCTCTGGTGAGGCTTTCTTCCTCAACATTCCTCTGAAATTGCTCTTGGTCCAACCAGTGACCTCCGGATTGCTAAACCCAATGGTTGTGTTTGGTCCTAGTTTTACTTGGCCTCTCAGGAGCATCTGACCCAGGTGATCACAGCCTGCTTTCCGTGCACTTTCTCCCCGGGCTTCTGGGACCCATACTCTCTTGGTTGCCTTCTGTCCCACTGACCCCTTCTTCTCAGTGTCCTCGGATGGCTCTTACCCTCCTCTTCAACTTCTGAATGTTAGAGTCCCAAGGTTCAGACCTTGACATCTTCCCTGTAGCCTTACTCTCTTGGTAAGGTATTGCACCTAGTCTCATGATTTTAAGTAGTATTCTTCCATATACTGATGATTCTGTGTGTCTACTTACAGATATATCATCCGTATCTCTTAGCCCTCCCCTCTCTACCAAACTTAAATATTTAATAGTGTAATAAAGCACCTCAAATTCATCAAGTCCAGGACTAAACTCTTAAAGTGCAGCTTACATAATTGGAGAAGATATTTGCAAATCATCTATCTGATAAGGGCCTAGTATCCAGAATATATAAACAACTCTTACAATTCAACAATAAAAAGACAAATGATCCAATTAAAAATGGGCAAAGGATTTGAGCAGACATTGCTCCAAAGATGGCCAGTAAGCACTTGAGAAGATGCTCAACACCATTAGTTACTAAGGGAATGCAAATTTAAACCACACTGAGATACCACTTCACACCTACTATGATGGCTATAATAAAAAATCTAGGCAATAACAAGTGTTGAGATCTGGAGAAAATGGAACCTTCCTACAGTGCTGTCAGAATGTATGGTGCAGCTGCTTTGGAAAGCAACTTGAAAGTTCCTCAAAAAGTTATGAGAATGAAGTGCTTATATGTGCTATAACATGAGTGAACCTTGAAAATGTTATGCTAAGTGAAAGAAATCAAACAAAAAAGGCGACATGTTATGTGATTCCATTTATACACAATTTTCAGAATAGGCAAATGTGTGGAGACAGAAAGTAGGTATCAGGGAGGGGAGAATGGGAGTGAGTAGTAATGGGTATGGGTTTCTTTTTGGGGTCAACAAATGTCCTGCAATTAGATAGTGTGATGGTTGTTCAGAGAGCAGCGGAGAATATACTGGGCTAAGAAACAGCATGTATAAGGGCCTGAACAAATTAAGAGAGAAAAATAACATTTGTACATCAAACAGAGGGCATGAAATCGTTTGATAAAATTTAACAATCATTCATGTAAGGACAAACTCTTTACTTAACAAACGCTAAACAAACTCATGAACTTACTTTTTAACTTGATAAAGGGTTATCTACCAGAAACATAGAGCAAACACCGTCTGTAATGAAGTGTTCCCACAGTCCAGTTGTCTTTCTGGCATAGGGTAGGATCACACTTTCCTACCCTTTTGGAAGTTAGGTTTGGCCATGGGACTTGCTTTGAGGTGCTGATGAATAGAACATGAATTATTTCAGGGTAAAAGCTTCAAAAGCCAGGACAAAATTCACCATGCCCCTTCTTCTTGCCATAGTGATCATGGAAGCACATGTCCATGGATACCCAGAACCTCCACCAGCCTGAGTCTCTGAAAAACAAGGAGCTCCTCCCTGCTAATGACTTGTGTTGGACATGAGGTTAAGTGAGAAATAAAGTTTTATTGTATTAAGCTGCTAGATATTAGGATTATTTCTTACTGCAGCATATCCTGACCTATCTTGAATGATACACCCAAGGCAGTCAGAAATGAACCAATGTCTCACCCTTCAACCATATATTGGAGGTTGCAACTAATGCAGTAAGAAAGTAAAAACAAGCAAGAGATTGAAAAATTAGAAAGGAAGAGGCCACATTGCCATTATTTGTGATCATGTGATTATCTGCCTGGAAAACCCAGAACAATTGTTGAGTTCAGCAAAGTGGCTGGACACCAGATCAATATTTATAAATCAAGAGCTTTCCTACAATCAGCAGTAGCAATTTGAAAATGTGATAACTTAATCCCATTCACTATAGTAACCTAATCTACAAAATACTTAGGGATAAATTAATGAGAAATATATAAGATCTTCATGGAGAAAACAGTAAGGTCATATTAAATGATACAAAAAAAGATCCAAAAATGGAGAGATATGCTGCTTTCAATAATGGGATGACTTACCATTGTAAAGATGTTGATTCTCTCCAATTTAATTTAAATCTCCAATACAATTCAATCAAAATACCGAAAGGACTCCATAGCACTTAACAGGATGCTTCTAAAATCTGTATGTTTGTACATTCACTTAACAAACATTTATAGAGGGCCTACCATGGGTCTGACCCTGTTATGTGAACTGAGGATAAGGTGGTAAATGAAACAAACCAAAAAAAGCCTTCCTTGAGCTTTCATTCTAGTGGAGAAGAGCAATATGTAAACACATAGACATGCAGATACATAATATCTCACGGTGACTTTGCATAGTATCTATAAATGTGAGGCAACAGTCCCTTGAAAAAGAACAGATGGTGGGGATTAGGAGCTTGTCTTACCAGATCAAAAGACATCTTATAAAATTGGAGTTTTTAAAACAGGTGGCATTGGTATACATCAATAGATGATAAGAGAAAAGAGTCCAAAAACAAATTCATGCATCAAGGGGGATTTGACTTAGGATAAAAAAAAAAATGCATTTCAAACCAGTGGGGCAAGGATGAATTTTTCATGAGAAGTGTTGGGGCAACTGACTTAAATTAGGGAAAAAAATTGATCCCTCCCTCATACCACATACAAAAATAAATTCAAGTTTAAAATTCTAAACTAAAAAAAAAGAGAACAACCTCGAAATTTTAGAAGTGTCAAAGGGTATCAGCATGATCTTCAGGTAGAAAGTGCCTTTATAAAAATTCCTGATGGGGAGGAATATGTAAATTAGTATGTTTGGGAGGGTGATTCATCAGAGTCATTTAAAGTGGAAATACACATAATCTATGACCTATCAATTCCACTTCTAGATATTTAATCTAGAAAAAGTCTTAGACAGATACATAAGGATATATTTGGATATTTTTTGCAGCATTGTCTGCAATATAAAAAAAATTGGAAAAAATAAAATTTCAGTATCTTATGGAATATCCACATGGAAATGAATTAATAAAATATGGTATATTCATATATTGAATTATTATTATTATTATTATTATTCAGCATTTTAATAGAGTGAACCAGAATTAAGTCTACAGGTATGGACATGAAAGATTTCAAAAATGTTGTTGACTAAAATCAGTCATTTCTCAAATACTACCTACAATATGACGCCATTTATATTTTTGTATTTTTAAATATACACACAAAAAACTATTACATATTACCTATACTTCATAGAGTATTAGTCAGGATTCTCCAGAGAAACAGAATAGGGTTCTTCAGAGAAATAGAATAGGATAGATAAGGAGATAGATTGGTAATAGATAGATAGATGATAGATAGATAGATAGATAGATAGATAGATAGATAGATAGATAGATAGATAGATAGATGATAGGTAGATTTCTTATTATAAGAAATTGATTCATGCAATTATGGAGGCTGAGAAGACCCATGGTCTGCCATAGGCTAGCTGGAGACCTAGAAAAGCCTGTGGCATAGTTCTAGTCTGAATCTGATAGCCTGAGAAGCAAGAGAACCTGTAGTATAAGTCCCAGTGCAAGTGCAGGAGAAGATAGGTGTCCCAGCTCTGTCAGGCAGAGAGCAAATTCCCCTTTCCTTCACCTTTTTGTTCTACTCGGGGCCCTCAATGGACTGGATGAGGCCCACTCACAATGGCAAGGACGATCTGCTTTGAAGTCTACCAATTTAAATGCTTATCTCATCTAGAGACAATCT